GCTCGAGCCGGATACTCGACTGCCACTGTCAGAGGACTTCCACACCACATTGCTGCAGCAAAATAAGCTGCAGATAATTATACGGCCTTGTATGGAGGAAGGCCAGCAATTCCAAGATGGCTTCCCACCAATGCACGCAAAGAGATAGCAGAAAGAGCCTTTTATGCAGCGCCAATGCTCCGACATGTGGAAGTGGCAGCAGGGATAAGGCACGTGGGCTTTGCTGCGTGGCAAGGCTGCCAACAGCTGCAAATCGTCAAACTCCCACGTTCGGTTATCAGCCTCGAAGATGGAGCTTTCCAAGGCTGCTATGTCCTCAGGGAGGTCATAGCCCCGGGATGTGTCCAGTTCAGCCGAAGAGTTTTCGCCGAGTGTTGCTCACTCAGTAAAGTGGGCATAGGCAATGACGCTGAGGCCATCAATGACCTTGCTCCTGGGGCGCAGCTGGGCCGTTTTGCTTTCGAAAGCTGTCTCACGCTCACATCGATTAACTTTGTCATGGACGAAACCAATAAGCCTAGAGCGCTACCAGATGGCAGCTTCTGCGGAGCTGGCCTCGAGAGCCTCTGCCTTCCATGTGACTTTCACAACATTGGCCCGAAGGCCTGTGAAAACTGCAAGCGACTGGTTGAGGTCAACCTCATGTGCACTGAGATCACAGTCATTCTCAGCTCAACCTTCGCACACTGTGTCGCCTTGACTGACATATGGCTGCCGCCTAGGCTGCAACGAATTGGCAAAGACGCCTTCCTTTGTTGCATATCGCTTTGTGTTATCCCAACAGAACTACACTACATAGGAATTCGAGCTTTCTGCGGATGTGAACAGCTGGTGCGATTCACACCCCTCGACTGGGGAGAGGGTGAAAGAACCGTCCAAGCAGAACACAATGCCTTTCTGATGTGTGATAACTTTGAAAGAGCATCTTGGGTAGAACTGCTCTCACCGAGAGAACCAGACTCTGATGCCTTTGATGAAGAGCTCCACACAGAATTCCCCTGCTGAGTCACCCTGGTCCGACAGTTAGGCAGTTATCCAGGGTAAGTGCCTTAGCGCTTGTCCTGAGCAAGGTACCCCCCTGGTTAACCTCGTCTCTGCTTTCCTTGGTGCTGTACACCCGGTCACTTGCTTGTTTCGCCCGTCAAAAGTGATAATTGGCTAGTAAGCAGGGGGGTGCCTTAGCACTTGCCCTGGGTCAGGGAACTCCCCACTCAGTGAGACTCTAATTCTGAGGTATAGAGCAACTCGGCTGAAAAAGCCACGTTCGCATGCCCTGAACAGTGAAAAGCAGACAATATGCACTAGCTACGAAGGTCAACCTAAGGTTTTTCTGGCTCAAGCAGCGGCCCGCTCCAGTCATCCCCAATGGAGACTCCGCGCTCTTCCAATGTTAGCTCTCCTCGAGAGCGTGAACCGGTCATGGAATGCCATCTTGCACTTACTGCCCTATCTGGCACGGTCGTGACTATCTCCATGAGCGTCGCCAAATTTGATAGATTTGAAGACCTCGAAGACCATGTGGTCGACTACCTTGCCTCAGTGACTGACCTGAAGGTCTTTGGATGTACGATCGATTTCTTGCAAGATGACACGCAAACCTACTTAGAAAATCCAATCTGGGAAAAACTGCAACAGTGCACCGAATACACCATGGTGTTTCGTAGCTGCTGTGAAGTCCTTCCCACAAAGGAGAACTTTGAAGGGTGTCCATTCCGGGACATTCCACTCGCTGTCCATGTCCCCATGAACCCGGAGGAAATGGTTCCTGAAGGTGCCTTTGCATCGGTGCCACGTTTGCGCCACGTCAGCGTGGAACCAGGCATAAGGGTTGTGGGCGCAGAGGCATGGCAGTGTTGTCGGCAGCTTCGGATAGTCAAGATGCCGGTTACGGTGGTTAGAATAGCAGACAATGCTTTCCGCGGGTGCCAGCTGCTCAACAGTGTAACAGCGCCTGGCTGTATGGAGTTTGGCTACAAAGCCTTTGCAGAATGCAGCTCCCTGCAGTGGGTCTTTGCTATTGAAGGAGCGGCGAACCAATTTTGCAGTGCCACCAAACTTGGGCACTATCTCTTTCGAGATTGCATCAACCTAGCCACTTTTGTCCTGCAAGAGGCTGCTCACCCACAAGAGTTGCCAGCTCGAATGAATGGCAGGGAGCTGGCCCAAGGTTGTCTCAGCTCCACTGGGATAAGTACACTCGTGCTCACGCGGGACTTCCAAGTGCTGGGGGCGCATGCCTGTGACAACTGCAAACTACTAAAGAAAGTCGACATTTCAAACACTAAAGTTGAAGAAATCCAGGAATTTACCTTTGTGCACTGCACTAGCCTTTGTGAAGTCAAATTGCCGTCCACTCTCCATACCATAAGAGTCAACTCCTTCATGAACTGTGCTGCACTGCCAGAACTGGCCATACCACCCTCGCTGCACTATATTGCCAGTAGAGCCTTTCTGGACTGCACCGCACTCCGAAGGCTTGTTAAACTCCCAGGCCAACATAAGTGGAGGAGAATATACGCAGAAGAAAATGCCTTTGCCGTTTGCCCAGCCATGCGATGGCCGCCGTGGCTGCATATGATTCCTGACACAGGTCATGTGTCTGGATGAGAGCCTTAGCTCTTCGTCTATAGTAGGCAGGTGGTATCACGTACCTTGGTTGCACATGATCCCTGACAGTGGTTACGCGCCTGGATGAGAGCCTTAGCTCTTCGTCTATGGTAGGTGGGTGGTAGGCTCACGTGCCTGGCCTACAGTGGGAGCCACAAAACCACATAGAGGCGCCCGTATACAGCTCTTTATTTCCGTAGGCTCAGCGATTGCCTACACACTGCTGTCAGTGCCTTTAGGCTCAAGATTACCCTAGGTCGCAGTGGTTACCCGCTGAGATGCTTGCAGATGCCATGTCTCTGTGCACTTCGCAAGGGAGCGGTGAAAGGTCATTGGTATTACATCTCATGTGAACCACCTTCGCTGGTGATGAAATCCAGCTAGCAATCGACCTACAAGAATATGACAGGCTCAATGAGTTTGAAAATGCAGTGCTGATTCAGCTCCCCTATCTTGGAGAAAGCAGCACCTTTTGTTGCGAGCTGCAATTCGTTCATAAGGACACCCGCAAAGTTTTGGTTGACCCTATTTGGAACACTCTGCGTGACAATAACAGCTTCAACGTGATTGCCCGTCAGTGTTTTGTGGACGCGGAGCACAAAGGGCAGCTCAAGGGCGGAGCAAAAGCCATTCGAGTCCCATCCAGCAATACTGATAGGGTACTGCCACAAGCCTTTTCGTTCCACATGGAAGTCAGGCACGTTCAGGTAGAAGCAGGAATCCGCATTGTGGGTGAGGCTGCTTGGAGGAGCTGTCAGCGACTGCAGGTGGTTCACTTACCGAGCACAGTCGTCTGCATGCAGCGTGGAGCGTTTCGCAGATGTTACCTACTCCGAGCTGTGTTGGCCCCGGGATGCAGGCAATTCGGAATCAAGGTCTTTGAGGCATGCTGCTCTTTAACGCAAATTGGGGCAACTAATCACACAACTAACCAGTTAGCCCCGCAAGCACAATTCCGGCCTCGAGCCTTTGAGAAATGTACGGCTCTGCGCCACCTCAACCTGGAAGCAACGGAGTATGACCCCACCAATCCGAAAAGATGCTTGCCTGAATGTTGTTTCTTGGAAGCCGGCGTCGTCTCGCTCTCCCTGCCGCCAGATTTCACTTGGGTTGGGCCTGCAGCTTGTGAGCATTGTCAACAGCTTCAGATAGTTGACCTGTCCCGAACGGATATTATCGAAATACTGGGATCTACATTTGCACACTGCTCGCATCTGCAACAGCTTAGCCTCTCCAGCAACTTGCAGAGAATAGAGCAAGAAGCTTTCCTCCAGTGCGCCTCACTACAAGAGGTTTGCATCCCATCAACCTTGCTGTACATTGCTCGGCGTGCTTTTGCTGGCTGCGCGCAACTTCACACATTCTACAAAACTGGGAAAAGCCCGACTTGGAGGGGGACATACGCTCGGGTCAATGCCTTTGACAAATGCGAGCAATTAGACAAGCCGAAGTGGCTTCGTTTCCTGCCGCCAAACGCCAAAGACAAGTGGAGGGAAGACTACACTGAAGCAGTGCGCTAGGACTTACAGTAGCTTAGTCACACTGTGCTAGCGTAAGGCGTCCTTCTCCTACGGTTCGAGTGAAAGTCAGGCTCCGACAAGCAGATAGAGTCATCAATCTCGCCTTCATCGCCTGCAATTTTGTGAGCCCACCGGGATGAGAGCCTTAGCTCCTCGTCCCTGGTAGGCGGGTGGTAGCAGAGCGGTTGATGGAAGGCGCCCAGGGAGAACCTTAGTTGCTCGCCTGCTGGAGCCGAACCACAGCCAATCTTGTACAAAGATGGCATAAGTACCATGCTAGGATAGGTCTCTGTCTCACCTGTTTCACATGGGCCATGCATGTTGTAGGATAGTGACCTTAATGCTCACTATCGGATGGATAAGTCACCCCTTTGGCAAACGCGTGGGAGCCATTGGGTGTGTGTTGCGCCTCCCTTGCGGGAGGGAAATCAACACGTCGTCAGCAGTCCTTTCGTTGCGATGCCTTCCACTGCCACACTCAAGATTAGCCTCTGCTTTTCGTATGCGCAATCAGTTGTATAGTTTGTGCCACGGAGAGGGAATTTTCCACGGCCTGCCATGCCTTGCAACTGATGACTCCTTGGGCAAGTGTCATTGTCACTGCTGACTCTGCTTGGCACTTCGTAGAATGTCGAAATAATCCGAGTGCCAACCATTCGAAGTGGCTGTGGTGACTTCATCCTTGCCAACAGAGTGAGGCCACATTTGATTGGCCGTCCCGAGCTACCAACCACGTTCAATGCAGTTTGCCTTTCGTTGTGAATTCAGGCCCTTAGATATTTTGCAGCTCATCTTTTCACCTGTCTCACATCCGTACAGAGGAAACACTACCGACATTGATTGGGGGTCTTTGGTTGTGGCGTTGGCTTTTGTTTGGTTTTGGGTTGGGTTTTGGGGTTTTTGTTTGGCTGTTTTGGTGTTGGTTTTTGTGTTTTGCTTCCCCCATCAATACGCTGTGTTTCCTATCCTTCTACGATGACCTGGGCACACCGCCCACATGGCGTCCGCACTCGTGGAAAAAAATCACGCTCCCCACCAGCGCTCGCGTGGCGGCTCATTGGGATACAATACCCTATGCTCTGCGGTCCCAAAAATGGCCAGTGGCACATTGGCACGGGTTCGATCGCATGCATTGTTGACAAAGCAGATTGGGCACTGACTGTGAATCATGCCTTTGAACGTCGCAAAGCCCTGGACCCTGCTATGAAGCTTCCGTGGGAACAACCTTCGACGCAGGGAATCTTTCACAACAGTCTGGGCCTCAACTTACCACAAGTGCATGGTATAGCTTGGAGCGGCTCACAACTAAGACTGAAGATGGTAAGCAAATCTTGGCAAGCGGAGAAGCTGAAGTTTGTGCAGATGCTGCTTTTCTCAGTGCTGTGAAAGACATTCAGAACTTGGACTACTTTGAAAACAAACGATTGCAAACAGATTTGGCCTGCGCCAAGTGGCTTGATATTCTTGCCATAAACTGGAGTGCATCTGCCATTGGCCAACAGGTTTGTGAGATCTCAGGAGCGATCCCACTGGAGAGATGGCGAATGAAACCCTCAAGGCTTGTTGTGGTAGAAAGAGTTATTCAACTTTGCTCAAGCGTGCAGGAACTTTGAAACGTTTCATTCTTTGGCACAAAGATCACTACTTTGAGAGAGGTTTCAGTGTTGACGCAATACCGCTGCATGAGCCAGATGTTTGGAACTATGTCAGGCACTTGACAGAGTCTAGAGAGAGTCTAGAATCCGCGATGCACGTGGTACACTGGACCTGCCACTTTCCTTGAGACTGTGAGGTTCACAAAGTTCATGTAGACATCCTGGAATCTAGGAGATTGCAAGGTTGTGCGGGAGAAGGGGCCTACTCATCAGGCCCCACCTGTGGAGCTGGAACATTTGAGGCGGCTACATTCAGTGTTGTTGAATGTTGGTGCAGTTTGCATGCTTTTGTGTACATATGCACGAGCACGTTGGAGCGATCTACGCTTCGTTCATCATGTTGAGATTGAAAGCAAGAGGAATGGTTGTTTGGTCTTGTACACAACTGAGCATAAGACTTGTGCTGTTGGCGAAAAGAAGGAACAATACTTGCCCTTTGTTGTTCCTTGGGACGGAGTGACAAATGACAACTGGCTGCAGATTTTCTTGGATCTTTACCAACAGGTTGGGCTGAATATTCACAAGGTACCGCTGGGTCCTCTGCTTCCTGCTCCTGGATCTGGTGGTGGATTCTGCGCACGGCCCTTGACCACGTCTGAAGCTGCAGCTTGGTTGCGAGGTCTTTTGAAGGGAACTTCTAATTGGGAAACCTTTCGCTCCCATTCCATGAAAGCTACCCTGTTGGACTGGTGTGCAAGATCTGGAATGGATAAGGAAGTTCGGTCAGTGCTTGGGCATCATTGCAGTGCTGTGAGTGGTTCGGAAGTAGTGTATGCCCGTCATTTGCAGGCCAGGCCAATTCGAAAGTTGATGATGCTGCTCCGGTTAGTCAGGATTGGCATGGGCCTTGAGGAAATCGCTGACAAAGGCAACATTCCAGGTGTCACACCGGCAGTGGGTACACCTGGACCTGGTTTTGGGATTCATGGTTGTGCAGCACGGACACCTGTGTTGCCAGTTGAGCGTATTCAAACCGAAGAAGACCCGGTTCAGGATGCAGTTGAAGGTGTTCAGGACCACGAAGACCAACTTTGCATCAAGGAAGAGATGAACAATGCTGCAGATGTTGCCGCCTCAGCAAGCAGCTTGAGTCTGTTTCCAGAAAGCATTGTTCAAATTGGTTTGATCGAGATCGATAGTTCGTCCGGCAGTGACAGTGAGTCGAGCAGCTCAAGCAGTGATGAGCCGCTAGCTGAGACTTTTGAAACAAGTCACGCATACACTGAAGTAGTACCTGAAGGCTTGACCCTTGCGTGTGCGCGCAGTCCGAAATGACCAGGAAGTGACTGTGTGCAAAATGAAGATAACAGCGAATTTTCAGGAACTGGGCCGCACCTTGAACTTCAGGTATCCGAAGTGTTTGAGGTGCTTCCCAAACGATCCAGGGCGCGTGCGTAGTCGTGAAGACGCTGTTGAGGCCTTGGACAAAGCCTTAGAGAGAGTTCGGAAAGCCAGGAGAAGTGCAAGGTAACCCTCTAGTTTCTTTTAAAGCTCACTCAATTAACCGCTACCTGTACTGAACGCTGAAACGTGAAACAAACGGACTGTTTGAGTGCTGCATGTGTTTTGATCTTGTGTGCATTTCAGCTTCCAACCATTCAAGACACTTAAGTTAGTAAGAGTGTTTTCTCCTGGTTTCTCAAACCTAGCATAAGCCCTGTCGTCCCAAAGGGGAAGAGACAAGTTTGCTCTAAGAGCGAAGACATTGCATGAAGAGTGCACTGAGCGGAAAAGAAATCTGCAAGAAGCCTTCACTCTAAGGAGTCTAAGGAATAATCTTAGCCGAAGTGGCCAAAGAAAGTTTGCAGAAAACTGCCAAGTCGAGACTAAGTGTCTCCAGAACTGTTTGCCGAAAGCGGTACAGGCTCAAAGGAGCAATGTTAAAACAAGAACAAAGTTTTCATTCATGGGCTCAAAGGAGCGTAACAAGACAATACAAACGATAGTGCGAGCCTCAGATTCTGACACTTTTGACTGGCGTTGTAGAGTGTTCTTTTGCTAGAAGTTTTCAGGCAAATCTACAATTTATTTCTAGTCTTACGAAATCGAAGCATGGCAACTGTCGTTGACAGCACTGCTCATTTTGATGCACGGCTGTTGGAGAGTGGAATCACGCAGACAGTGCTGGACTCAATAAAAGCTAGTGGAGTGGACACTCTCAGTCGATTAGCGTTTGCGGTAGGCCAACCAAATCAACCATTGGCCAATGACGACATCACAGGATTCTTGCAGACTGCGTTGGGAAGGGTCCCATCGTTATTGGAGACCTCCACGGTCAAGAGGCTAGCGTTCGAAGCTCAGACCTTCCTGGTGGCGTCCCTACGCCAAAGCATTGAGCAGACAGACGATTCAGTTCCCCCGAAAATAGCTTTTGCAGAAAGAGCTTCGAGAATGCAGGCAATAAAGACGGCATTTTTCGGTGTGGATATCTCAGGTGAGCTTGAGCCATCGCATTTGCTTCTGGACAAGGCTTGTGCCATGTACGACAAGAACGTCGTGGTGTACTTGGAGCCGAGCACATGTGTCAGCAGGACTTTGGAAGTCCAGGGCACAAAGCAGAGCCGTGAGTTGAGTTTGGAAAAGGGATCTTTGGTCCTTAGAAATCAAGACCAGTTGACAAGTGCTACAGATAGTGAGATCAAGCTTCGCAATGCCCTTGTCCGCCGTGGCATTGCCTTTCAGTTTGCAAAGTTGATGTCGCATGCTCAACACACGGAATGGGCAACATTCTTGTTTGAGGCCCTGCACCGAGATGCACCGCCTGGTTATAGCCGACCGAGCGTGGCGCAACTACTACAATGTGATAGAGCTGCTTGGGCAAGACTAGGCAGTACGGTGAGCAGCATTAGGCAGGACCAGCTTGGAGGTTACTCGTTAGGAGACGCTCTGTTGGCGTTGAGATCAGATCCATACATTACGTTGTATTTGGCGCCTTTAGCAAGGCATGGGTTGACGCAGAGTGATTCCGGGCGTCGCAGCACTGGGCCCTATGAGTCATCATGGCAGGATCGCAGTTCAAAGGGAAAGGGCAAGGGCAAGAAGGGTTCAGGAAAGGGGTGGAAAGAGCAATCCACCTATGCCGCGTGATCTTCATGGAAAATGGCACAAGACGCCAAAAGGAGACCCGATTTGCTTTGGGTACAATACGACGCAGGTCTGCCCCGAGAAGAACGTGAAGGCTGGTGACAAGTGTCGAAGGGGGCTTCATGTATGCGCTGAGCCAAAATGCCAACAAGCTCACCCGCTGCATGAACATGGACGGTGAATTAGGATGACGCTCATCCCTCGTGCCTGGCAAGGCATGCACGTGGGACAGTTGTGGACGCTGGAGTTGTTTGCAGGCTCAGCAGTGCTTTGTTCGGTTGCTAAGCAACAAGGACTCTACAACAGCATTGCAGTTGACAAGACACAAAAACATGGTTGTTTTTCGAGCATCATTAGGCTGGATTTGACGCGTGAAGCTGACAGTTCGCTTGTTGATGATTGGCTTGATTCGGGGCTACTCGTTTGGGTGCATCTAGCACCTGTGTGCGGTACTGCGAGCCGTGCACGGGACATCCAGGTGTCAGCAAATGATCCACCTCCCCTGCGCAGTAATGAACATCCGAACGGTTTCCCGGACTTGACCGGACGTGATTTGCTCAGGGTCACCATAGCAAACCAGTTGTTTTCATTTGCATGTCGCATCTTCGCTGAGGCCACGAAAAGTGGAATTTTGGCAACGATGGAGAACCCAAAGAATTCATATTTTTGGTGCACAACATATTTTTTGCAATTGTGGAAGACTGTCGAACTTTATCGCGCTGATTTTCAGGTGTGCATGTATGGTGGTTCAAGAGACAAGTGGACAAGATTCATTGCAAACTTCCCTGAAGTGACCGAATTGTCGATCGAGTGTGACAGGAAGCACTCTCACGCACCTTGGAGGTTTGCTCACGATCATGAGGGCAAACGAGTGTGGGCAACCAGCTTGGAGAGCCAGTACACTCGTCCTTTGTGTCTGGCTACGGTTCAAGTCATTTTGCAGAAAACTGCTTCCCAAGGATTGCAATTGTTGCCCCAGATGTTGAATGACATCCGCAAGCATCCGTTGTTGCACGCACAGCAGGCTCAAATAAATGTTGGTCTGCAGCCATTTAGAAAGAAAATCCCACCATTGGTTCCTGATTTTGATACAGTGGTCGTAGCAGTCCTTCAGGATAAGTCACAAGTCCCTGTCCCTGTCCTTGGCAAGGTTCAAACTGAACTGCACCTCGTGTCCATTGAGCTTCAACCTCTACTCATCCCCAAATATGCACGTTTGCTTCGCCTTTTTGCTGCCTCCGATTCTTTGAAAGGGGGGCTGGAGGAATCTGAGACAGCTGGCAAATCCGAGACTGGTGCTGACCTTAGTTCCTACCCTTTTGGAGCTGTTTTTGGCTTGTCTTGGGAGCCGGAAAAGTTCATCCAAAAGGCTGTGGCAGCTGGTCATCCGGCCTTGACCGCCATGAGCATTCCGGAAGATCTTCAAATTGCCATCGACAGAAACCTGGCTTGGAACGATGAGCAGATGTCCAAATATAGGTCAGACTGGACAAAGCACTGGTTGAAGAGGGCAAAAGAACTTGATGCTGCAGAAAGCCTGGACAGGGCGTCCAGGCCTGAACATGTTAGGTTGAGAGTTGTTGCATTTTTGAACAACAGTTCAAACCCTGCTTGATGACCCTCGATCAATTGGAAGGTGGAGCAAAGCGCCGAAATCAGGCCATACTTGCCATGACTTGTAGCTGCGGTGATGAAGCTTTGGACAGACAGGTATTGGCTGAGACTAGGGCTGAGCTTGAAAAACAATGGGCTAGAGGACCTTTTGAACTGGATGCCCTGCCGGAAGGGGCAGTCATTTCTCGCAGGTTCCCGCTTGTGCAATCAAACAAAGTCCGAATGATCGACGATTTCTCCATCAGTGGCATCAATGACTCGTGCACGATTCATTCCAAGATTGACTTGCACATGATCGATATGCTGGGAGCGGTCATTCGAAGATATTTCCAAGCTTGTAGTGCAAAGGAGCGCGACAGCCGGCTTCTGGCAAAGACCTTCGACCTCAAGAGTGCCTACAGACAGGTGCCCATACGGAGCCAGCGCCTAAAGTATGCCTTTTTCAGCATCTACAACTGCGAAGAAGGGAAACCCGAGATCTACCAGCTGCTAACCCTGCCTTTCGGGGCCACGCACTCGGTTTATTCCTTCCTTCGACTGGCAAGACTCATTCACAGTATTGCTGCCAGAGGTTTGTATGTACTCAACACGAACTTCTACGATGACTTCGTGCTGTTATCAAAACCTGAGAGTTGCAAGTCAGCAAACTTAGCTATGGAGGTTTTGTTCTTGCTGACCGGTTGGGAATTTGCTGGTGATGGAAAGAAGGCAACACTCTTCGAGACCACCTGCAAGGCACTTGGAGTGGAATTTAATTTAAGCAGATCGGAGCAAAGGATTGTTCAAATCTACAACACCAGAGGAATTTTGACGAAAGCACCAAACACGCTCTTCTGGCCATGAAGACTAGGCTCGAAGCTGGGCGCCCCGTTCAGATCTCAGACCAGGATCTCCTGCAGTGGTTCATCTACACTGATGCTGCATACAACATGGAAGAACAAACTGGTGGTATAGGTGGAGTCCTGGTTGACCAATCTGGAGTATGTGTACAATGGTTTGGTTTTCCCCTCAATGAAGAAATGTGCAAGACGTTTGGTTGCCAAACAAAACAGTCCATTATTTATGAGCTTGAATTGGTAGCTGCAGTACATGCCCTTTCTTACTGGGGCGACCATCTGGCTGGAAACCTGGCCACATGGTTCGGAGACAATGACAGTGTGAGATATGCCTTGATCAGAGGAGCTGCCATCGGGCCTTGCGGTGAGGTGATCATGAGGTTTCATCTTGAGAAGGAAGCAAGCCTGCACTCCCGTGCATGGTTTGCTCGAGTCCCGACAGAAGCAAACATTGCTGACTTCCCTTCAAGGCTTTCTCAACACCCGCTCCTTGTTCCAAAAGCAGATGTTACCGACAGTGCACGCCATAGTTTTCAGAGCTTGATTTCGACAGTCGATTCGAACAGTGGAATACACGTTGTTGATGGGGGAGATAAGGAACGTGCATCCCCCAGTTCGAAAAAGAAGCGCTGGTTGGCTTAGTGGTTTGCAAGACACCAAACGGAGAGAGACGACTAAGCTCTTCGAAGAAGATCGTGTTGCCTCCACTTCGTTTTAGAAACGAGATGATTCGGGTGTCTTGAAAGAATTTTTTTTCCTTCGTAACATTTTACTTCAAGGGAGGGTGTGGCGGGCTCCGCTGACCAAATGGTCAAAGCTCTGAACAGCCCACCCGCCCACACCAACCTTTCAAGAAGAATGCAAGCGAACTTTGTTTCAGGCCAAACCCAGGCCTGATAAGGAACGTGCATCCCCCAGTTCGAAAAAGAAGCGCTTGTTGGCTTAGTGGTTTGCAAGACACCAAACGGAGAGAGACTTTTATTTCCACACGCGCATGCAACAAATTGTGTGGCCGCTTCGTATTTTGCATACATTCATGGCGTTGGGTGTGAGAAACCATTGCGGAAAGTACTGAATGCAAATGCCAAGATCAATAATGGATTGTTTTGTATAGTCAAATGATAACTAGCACATTTATCATTTGAGATTGCAAAGAGATCAAAAACACCAAAACACAGTCCACTGTGTTGGCAGGCATTTCGCACAGTCGCGAAGCATCGCAACGATGCTCAAGATACATGCAAAAGGAACGTGGAGGGAACAACAAAATAGTCTATTTTGAGTAGGCAGCAATTCTTTGGGAAACAAATCTAGCAAACAAGGAACCGCGGTCTCCGTCCAAGTTTGGGTCTTGTTGAACTTTGGTTGCTTCATAGTTATGGCGGCCTCCAGCAGCGGTTGTGACCTCACAGTGCTGTGTGTGTGTGTGACAGTTGACGTGCCTTTGATACATGTTGAAAAGCATTGGTATTGGTGCTGTAAATCAGATTTGTTTGAGGTTTGGACCATGGTGTAGATCCTGAAATCCCGGAGGCATGGTGAATAAAGTGAATCACGGTTGATCGTTGATCCTTCGTTTGGCCTATGGAACTTTGAAAGGTTTCTGGAGACCGCTACTTGAACGTGCTTGATCAGGCCTCCAAAGCACTGTGAAACCTGACCATGCAATCATGTAACAAACATTCTGACATGTTTAAGGATGAGGTGCAAGCATTTTGGCGTGAAGCTGGTGTCCGTGGAGGGACTGCCCCGATTACAAGCAACAATGTGAAGACGAACTTCGAACGGTCACATGCATCGCTTGTGAGCTGAATTTCAGCAGGAGTGGCGACCCATGTTTTAACGTTGACTGGGCTGCTGCAGGGAAGGCTTGGAGTAGCATATTTACTTGCACATGGCAGTTCAACAAACCATGAAGCTCCATTCAACATGCCAACAGAAGTGGTAAAACTTATATACACCCAACCAAACCCATCATCCAGAGATTCTGGTACTTTCTGTGCAACAGCACTTTGGATTGCGAGGAAGTCGTGGATCACCCAAGAGTCAAAGAACTTTGCCAAGCTCAAGCAGCAAGAGGCAGGAACGTGGATACAGTGCTAGTGGAAATGGTTGTTGTAAAGTATGCGTTTTGTCTATCGCACTTTTGCAAGTTGTGGGACCAAAGTGAAGGCGGACAGCGGGCAGCAGCAGCGATGCGGCAGCGTGCAGCAGCTTTGGCAAATGAACTGGCAGCTTCAGTTGAAACGAGGCAGTTCTTCTTCCTTGCTCTTGACCGAAGTTTTTGACAGCTTCATTACAAGTTGATTGAGCGCACACGCGCTTTGGGACGGATATGCTCTAGTGATGGCTCCCTGCAAGGGTTGCACACTTCACCTCTGCATTGGCCCGATTCATGTTTGAGCGACTGTACTCCGGGGCTGGGCCCCCAGAAAGGACATTGTGAAGATGAAACTGTGAATTTCTCTCTCTCTATCTCTCTCTCTCTCTTTTTCTTTTTCTCCCGGTATATATATATATATAACTATATACATAGACGTTGCCAAGTTGATCTTCGAGCGAGAGCAGCTGACTGCACTTGCGCATTTGAGTATGCGAGCTCAACAAGAAGGTCGTAGCATAGTATATTTGCCCAGCGCCTTGACTTACTTAGCTGAGGGCAATCAAGCCACTGCCTTTCAACTGCACAGATTTATGTTGTGTTGTGGGGTGTCAGCCAGAAGCTTTGGTCCTTGAGGTTTCTTTTACTGTAGATTCTTTGGTATGGCATTTTTCACTCGCAATTGCATGCTTTCAAACTCTTACATGCGCTGCGGCGGCAGGTCATAAGAGCCACATTGACTACCTCGTTTTACAGCCTCCTACCTTGTAAATGAAGGAGGAACATGTCAGGACAGACTGCTTTGATTTCTTAGAGTTCATTTTGAGTTATATATATATATCTCTCTCTCTAAAGAACACAAGACGCTTGGAAGAATGATTGCAAAGCTGTACGTTGAGCTCGTGAATATCACTACTGAGGTTTTCACTTTGGAATTTGGGATTGGGTGCGCCTGCCATTGCAGCTGGCGAAAATCTGAATCTTCCAGTCGTTGGCTCGCCCCTCGTATGAGCTACAAGCACACGTAGGAAAAACATCCACAATTCACAATTCTGTGTCATCTGTGTGTTTTTTCTGTGCGAGCTTATTTAAGTCTTTCTTCAGCTTCAATCTCCAAGCGGGGCAAACCAAGGCTGCTACGCGCAGAGCTGAGCTTTTCCGACGCGAGCAAGATTAGGGAATCTTCTCAATATGCCCAAGTTTCCCTAAACATCTAGGAACCAAATCATTCGCGTAAGCTCTTCTTCAAGGAAGCTTCCCCCGCCCTCAGGCAAGGTGAGCTTCCTTGAAGAAGCGTGAGCTGTCCTGCGTTCTACCTAGAAGCTTAAATAGCTAGGAGCGAACTTCTTCCTTGCTCAATTGAGTAAGCAGTCTCTATTTAATCAAGCGAGGAGGCAGGGCCACGGGCTAAATAAATGAACCATTTGACACCCATGAGGCTGAAACACACTCTCAGCTCTGTGCTCAGGTCGGAACGGAGCTTTCTACATCCGCAGGAAAGCATGCTCGAGTGAAGACTCGAGATGTGGCAAAGTGATACACATAGCTGGCATGGAGTCATGTGTTTTCTGTAGTTGTTTTCTTTTTTGTTTGTTTGGAAGTTTCCACATTACCCACATTGTCGGCCTGGAGGAGCTTCAGTGGTGAAGACAGCGAGTTGTACACCACGGTGGTGGCTGCGTGCGCGTTTGTCGAATTGTTTCACCGATGTACAGCTGCCCTCAAGTACAAGGTAACCTGGGCAAGTATGCTAAGAGTAAGTAAACAAACATATAAATGGTCAGGTGCTTGCAAGCAAAACCGTCATAGGGGGTCTTTGTGTTTTCTAGGGCTGAGGAAGATAGACTCTTGACTAGGGATGTCGCCCAACACTTCGTTGAATGCAAGTGGGCACTCTGACCGCATAAGCGCTCCAAGTCTTGGGTTGTATTTTGTCTTACAGAATGCTTAGATATAGTATAGGATAAATAGGAAGAAAGGATTGAATTTCCGTTGCATACTGGAAGACAAACTTGAAACAAGCTGCTCCCTGCCCATGTAGCTGACAAGCTTTTCCCACACTTGAGGTACTTGGAGGGCTTGCTTTGTCGAGGAGCCAATGTCAAGTTCTTTTCAGAGGGTGGCCGCAGCCGCAGCGGCAAACTGTTCCTCCACCACATTCAGCAACCCCAAGCTGGGCAGGTAGAAGCATATTTCTGCTGAGGCTACAACCCAAGATTGGCTTGCTGGGAATGGTGGTAGATCCAATCCTTCGTGGCATCGTTGAGGATGCCTACATCGTGCCAGTTTCTATCTACTATGATGGAGAGCTTTGCTTGCAAGATTTGCAGCTGTCGCGACTGCATTACAACTGACAAGTTGATTTGGAATGCCCACAAGCCAGCGGCCCACAAAGATCCGCCGTTCACTTGTGACGAAGATTTGCAGATCACTTGCGACGAAACCGATCATCACTTTTGTGCCGATCAATTGCGACGAAAACAAGCATCACCAGCACCAGGGTGGTCTGTGGGAGGGATGTGGCGGGTGGGGCAGGGGCAGTATTAACAAGGAAAGCATATTTTACACACTCTTACATCCTGGGGGGTGGTGGATGGGGCCATCAGCACGACACTCAAGCACAAACAAACAAACAAACAAACAAACAAACAAAAAAACAAACAAACAAGGTCACGCCCGCTGCAACGACCCCGCGCGATTTGAGCGTTCTCACATGCATCTTCCAGTCGTTTTTCACAACCCCTCTGGCACTTTATGGCGATGCCTCCTTTAGGTCAATGTCAGTTTGTATGTGTTTTTACACTACAAAACGCCTCTCAAATCGTAACTCCATTGTGAAATGACAGTTTGTTCAGGGACCCGGAAGTTTAAAAAACCAAAGAACTACTATGGATCTTCTCAGTCCGTCAAAATCATGCACACTAGTCATGATAGCTTGTACAGACTCTAGCCCCACATCATACGTGATGTTCTGCCTCAAGGCTGAACATTGCCCAGACATCACTTCATGCAAGTGATCCAAGTACTGCACATCATATTGAAGCCATGATGACAACACAGGAGGCAACGACTGGCGTGTCAGACGCAAGAGAATCAAGAAAGTCAAGGCGAGTACAGCTTCCTCCATCTTGAGAACTAAAAAACCGTGGCTTCAAACACTATTGGGTGCAAGCGCTTCAAAACAAGGTTTGGATAGGCCATCAACTGCGTGGAACATAACAGGGTGCATTCATTCCTTAAATGCTATCAACTTATCAGGGTTCAGACCTTGCTTAACCACCACTGGGAATATCAACTTGGTTTGCTAGTGCAAGCGATCGTTAACACACCCCATCCCCAACATAGTATCAACTTGGTAGCAGCAACTTGGTTTGCAAGTGCAAGCGAAGCAGACCCCACCCCATCCCCACCCCACCCCATCCCCAACCGTAGTATCAACTTGGTTTGCAAGTGCAAGCGAACGTTAACAGACCCCACCCCATCCCCACCCCACCCCATTCCCAACGTAGTATCAACTTGGTTGATGGTGAAAACGTTGAAATTCTCCGGGGTCGTTAGGGGGGGCGTGAGCACAAACAAACAAACAAACAAACAAACAACCCATACACTCACATGCATCCTGCAGGGTGGGGGGTGGGGCCATCAGCATTCACTTAAGCATGAACAAATATCTTACACACTCTTACATGCTGGGGGATTGGGGGTCATTGGAGTCCCTGATGCAAACCCTGTTCTTGGATCTATTCTTCGTTGGTTATTTAGATTCTTTTTTAGTTAGTGAGTTACTTGGTTAGTTAGTTAGTTGGTTGGTTAGTTAGTTAGTTAGTTGGTTAGTATTGGTTAGCTAGTTAGTTAGTTGGTTAGGTAGTTAGTGAGCGTCACAAGCGACGAGCAAATTAGCGTCACAAGCGAGCGCCTCACCGCCTACAAAGGTGATGGAAACTGAGAGCTATGTGAGGGAACTCTTGGGAAGTGCCAAGAGGAAGGCCATCAGTTTCCTGACAAAAACGAAAGCACAACGCAGCAAGTATGCAACATCGGAATGGAACGCTCCTGTGTTCAGCTTTGGCATCCCGACAGGAAAGCCTTATAGGGGTGCTGGGACAAGGAAAACACTTATTAGCAATGCCCCGCTCACGTTATGGATCCTTGGCGCATCTAGAATCAAAGCTATTATACTTCCAAAATAGCTGCTTTGTACTCTTAACTACTTTGGATCCTAGGTAATATTCATGTCCGATTTGCACCTGGATTCAGTGCCAGAAGCTTCTTGGTGGTATATACTGGTTTTGTTTGACTGCAAGAGTAGTAGCAGTGTAGCAGCATTGAGTGGTCTTTGTTGGTTCTTTGGGATCGCCAGGCTACATTGAGAACTACACTGCGTTGCAGCGGCAATCCTCTGTTCACAGGGCGAACTTTGACCCTCAAAGCTCTGCAAGCGAGAAGGGAATCCTTTTAAAGGCATTGTGAGTTTGCTGTGTCTATGATTCTTTCTTTCGCGTTTCATCACAGCTGACTTGCAACTTGAAAGCGATACATTTTCAGGCGCTTGCTTACCACGTTTTGGAGGAGATCAACCGTGTTTCAAGTGTGACCCCTACTGCATTGGCCGTGCCCTAAATTTCTTGACACTTTTCGCTTTCCTTTCTTCAAGAGATTCCCTTGTTTTAACAAAAACCATGCCCAGGGCGGGAGACCTGGATCCGGATGGTTTTGCAGCATCAATTGCAGGTTTGCTTGTTGCTTGTTGGTGAATTGAAATAGCACTTAAAAGCGGGCACCTGGAGTTCCAGGTGCCGAGCTTCCACACCATGCCGTAAATTTGAGGGCTGTTCTCGTACTTCTCCCGATGCGCGGCCAACCTCTTCCATGACTCAAGACATATTCCATTGTGGACTGCAATCGGCAGAGCGCTGGATGTCCACAAGGACTAAGACTTCTTAGGGCCTTTTCTCCTGTGATAATACCTTGGCAAGGCTGCCCTCAATGATCACCTCACCACAGCATTGCTTCACCTCCTTCAACTCGCCTGCACGAGCTTGCTCTAGGAATCTCCATGCCATCATGCCAGAAAACTGTCTTGATTGAGTTTAAGCTCTGTCGTAAGAAAAACAAACAAAAATATATCAGCTACACCGTTTGCTCAGTTTCAGCAAACCGACAAAGCTCCTTTGCAAGCAGCTGTGGAAAGCCCATGCACAGCAAACAAACGGCTTCATGCGAGCCCACCACCACAGCTCGTTTGATCTTGCTGCAATGAAATTCATCGCCCATGAAGGCTTCTTATCGCATCTTGCTTGCGAATGCAAATCTCAATTGACTCGTTCAGATCGGAGGCCTTGCGCTTGCGACCCTTTTGTCCATCCTCAAGTCAACACTTTTGTTCGGCCTGACCTTGACTTTCTTAATCTATTGTGTATCATTCTCATTCTTTAGCCGCCTCGCGCCTGATGTCATTCCTGCACACTCTTTTGCTTTCTCTTGTCCTTTTTTTGCGATCTCCCTTCACGTTTTGCCATCCTCTACATCATACCTCACTTCTTCCTTTCTCAGCCGCGCCAGCCTTCTATTCCAATCCTGTCCTTTGTTGGCCTCCGGCTAGCTACTATCGGTATTTCATGGCTTGAAATGTGTCAAGTTGCAAGGTGGTGCATATGGAAGTTTATCGGATGGACCATTTGTGGCTCAAGGGAGCTTCAGCGAAACAGCACGCCAAGTAGCTATCAAGACTTCCTGAAGACCCGATCGATGACCGTGCCTCAAGCTGAAGACAATTGCCATGAAGCCTGAATGCACAAAGACATGGGCGAGGAGGAAAACGGGGACACATCATCAAACTATTCTCACCTTTCTGCAGAACCGAGGATGGCAAGTCTTTTGACTTGGAAGTTGCTTTCACAGATTTTTTGGCCGATGAGACACGGGCTGAGCTTGCCCTGCCTGCTATGACAGTTGAGCAGCGCAAAGAAGCCAAGAGGCGCGGTTGTCACACTTTATGGCCATTTCAAAGTTGGCAACAAGGACTGCAAGGACCATTTCGCAAAGATTCCTGTACCAGCAGAGTCCAATGTCGACTGGTGACTCGTAAATATGTTCAAGAAAGCCAGCAGCTGATCAACATGAAACATAAGAACCCTCCAGATGAAACGAACCATCCACAACAGCCCCAGCCAGATTTCCGACATTGTACTGATGTTCACCGCTCGCCTGAAAACTTTAGGATCCCACAAAAAAGAACCTATATAGTGAAGATTTCGTCGGCACCAGTGGAATTTTAGTGATTTGTGCTCCAAATTAAGAGTTTTTCTCACTGTAATAGTTTGTGCTTGTTGGGAGTAGAACCCAGACAGTTTCCCACTATGCTGTGCATTGCCTTTGAGCCTCGTGGCTTGAGCTCCTGCGCTTCAATAGTGACTCTACCCAGCATTCCTTGTAGCTCTGATGAAGTTAAGGGGCTTTTTAGAACTGAATCAAGGGTGTACAGTATTGTATTGAACTTCTCTTTCTATCATGATTCCGCTGCATCGGGTCCGGACGTCCCCCCCTCTCTCCCTCTCCCCCTCCCCCTCTCTCTCATTTTTCGCTTGCTCTCGCTTGCTTGTTGCATTCCACAAACAATGTTCGAATCACAAGTCTGAACAGTTGTCACCTCTCATGATTAAACAATTCCAATCGCCACTGGAAGACCTCATGCGTTCCTGATGCAAAGATGCTGGATACAAACATTGACAAATCCAACAATATCTTCACTGAACTTCTCAATGTGCCGATGCCAAATGGGCTGCGGCACCACCCATGTTCTTTTTTGATTGATAGGTAAAGCATTGGCACGTGATCCTGAATTCATAGAATGTTGGAGCAATGGAGAAAAAAGAAAGAAACTGCACTTGCGTGCAAAAGCATGCTTGATCTGGCTTTGAGGGGTGGTGGAGATTCATATCTGACATCACCAAGCTTTGTTTGTGTCCTCATGATGATCGGTCCACTCGGTCAGGTTGGCAGAGCAGTACCCCGTGCCTTGCCCATGACATCAGTCCTCTTGAAGGGAATGAAACACCCAATGGACCAAGGATATCAAGTGTGAGAGCTTTGGCTTTGGCGAAGAGCGCCGGCTTCATCTCTTCAAGATTCAAGGTGGAACTGCCCCAGGTGGGAAAGAGACACCTATGCTGTGATGTGACACATCGCTCGGGTGCCACAACCATCATTTCGGGTGAATTGGCAGGCTTGACACGGACTGGCTCCGAAAAATCCACGAGTGCTTCTGAAGTTGATACGCCTAGCCCAGCAAACACCTCCAACGAGGCCTGTCAAAGCGCAAGTTCTGGGTTTTGGCAAGTGTTTTTAATGCAGACTGCAGGGTTTTCACCCCTCTTTGGTTCAAACATTTCTCCTTCTGCCAGGTTCACTTTGGATCAGTGCTGTCTGAGTTGGTCCAAGTCCGGAATACATTCATCCATGTAGAAGAAGAGGTCTCCGTGGACCAGCGCAACTTGGCGATGCAGGCATTTGTACGATGTTTTCTTTCAACCTTTAGTCGAAACATGCTTGGGTTGTGGAAAGTAATCATTTCTAAGGTCAGGTGCAGTCCATGCCCCACGGCATGTTTGGAAAATGCTGGCAGGAGGAGATTGAGCTAGGCCTAGGAGTAGAAAATCCAGACGACTGGAGTTTTCTTTTTTTCAGATTCCCAAGCGTTTGACGTTTAAAGGTTTGATTCATTTGTTGAACCATTGATGTAGGCATTGCAAAGAAGGAAGACGATCGTGGCAGTGACGCAGGCGCACAAGTGGGTCGTGAGCCAATACTGGAATGGCTGAGAGTCATGCAATGTATATAAGGAACCACAAAGACAGAAGACGCAGCGGATGCTCGAGACGCTCCTGTCTTCTCTGACAGAGTTGCCGTGCCTCCTCCTGTGAAAGAAGCACCACGAGGCACGAGAAAGGTTTGGCTTGGCTGCGAGCTCCTCGGTAAGTTGCAGGAATCTTTGCGCCTGGATCAGATGTCTTTGTTGAAGGGCTTACGAAATGCCCCGCAGCTTGGCTGTACTCAGAAGTGCTGAGAGAGAGAGAGGGAGAGAGATAAGAAAGAAAAGGAAAGAGAGATAGATAGAGATTTGAATGGAAGCGCCCTTTGAATGGTCAAGCTCAGGCCTTCAACGGACTGCCTGGCAAGGTTCAGTCGTTGGACAAGGACACCGGACGCTATGATGTTTTGTTGATCTCAAATTCTGGGTACCAGCTGGCCAAGATCAAGGGTGCCTTGGAATGCAGCTCCCTTGCTTGTCAGATCAATTGTGTTATTTGGAAATTGTATTTGACTTGGACGATAAGGACACCTTAAGTACATCACTTGTACGGCATTGGAGATAAATATATATGGTACCCCCCAAAAAAACCTACAGTACCCAAACTCACATTTCACTGATATTTACAGTAAAAAATGCATATATTGGGCACCATTTTTTCTGAGTAAAAAATAAAGGTTGTGAATATACATTAAACATATATTTTACATAAATTTCGCATACTCAGCCCCCACCGCAGCCTTAACCTGAGGAGATGAAGATGAATCATATGAATAGCATATTAAACCAAATGAAATAATATATAAAATAGTCTCCATACGCAATAAAGTAGGCTCACTGCGTACATTTACTAATCACAGACTGCCAAAACCAAAAAACCAAAAATCCACAACTCTGAGGAGAATCTTTGGTTTCAGCCTGAAATATATATTTTTTTGGTTTTCATTGAGTATTTTGTTTCTTTTTGGTTTCATTCATCAAAAAAACAATAAACACAAGGTTTTTTTGGGTGTTTGCTTTGGTCTATACAATCACCAATGCCCAAAACAAAAAAACATAAGTCTTCAGTCTTCTTTTGTTTTTTCAATAAACATATGCAAAAAACAAACAAAAACCTTGTGTTTTCTTGTTTTTTTTGTGATTCCAGGTTGCATAGACCAAAGCAAACACCAACAAAAACCTTGTGTTTTTTTTGTTTTTTGATGAATGAAACCAAAAAAACAAAAAACTCAATGAAAACCAAAAAAACAATCTTTCAGGCTGAAACCAAAGATTCTCCTCAGAGTTTTGTTTTTGTTTTTTGGTTTTGATGTTGTTTTGGGTTTGGCTCTAAGTTCGACTTACTATCACCGCAGCGTCTTTTTTCCAACACAGAGTTTTCTTTTTTGTTTTCTGCGCGCGATGGTCCTAAAATCCTAAAATCCAAAGATTTCAGCACTAGTCCAAACCTTGACTTCATTGTTGTACTTCATAAGTTTTTGTGCTCCATTTGCTGGTGTATTCTTTTCTGTCAGTATAATTGCCTCTATTCTTTTGGTATATCTTAACATCATCACCTACATTGATGTTTGGATATTTTCTGGTGTTCTTTTCCTTGATTGTCAAATTCACTATTACATTTACTGTATTATCATCCTTGTGTGCCTGTTTTGGTGTCATTCCTGTTGATGAGTGCTTTGTGTTGTTGTATTTGTTCAAAGCTGGTATCAACATATCTGTCCAATTTGCCTTGTTAAACCTAACACGGTCATGTATCATATTCTTCATGATTCTAATAAATCTCTCGGCAACATTTGCATGAGTTGATGTTATGATATGTTGTATGCCTTCATTCTTAAAAAACTCTTTTACTACTGATTCAAAAGCACCATCATTGTCACTATAAATAGATATTGGAGAACCCATTTTCTTAAATGATTGTTTCAAAGCATCTAAGACACTTTCTGAATTGTTTTTCTTCATAGGCACTACATTAGCCAGCTTACTAAATATGTCAATAACAACCAATGCGTATTTTGGTTGTTTTTTTGGTTGGTTCTATTTTGACCTCTGGATTTTTTACAAGTGGAGCCATGACCAATATATCAATTTGATACTCAAATCTTGCAAGAGGTGCTGTGTATGAGTTTCAACACCCTTCCTCAACATCATAATATACATTGCTTATAATCTGTTCTTTTGTCAATGGCATTATAATAGAATCAGATAATATTTTTTTTACCCTAAACATATACTTAAAGAAATTGTTATATATATATTTTTAAGTGAAATGACTTCTATGAATTGTGGGTGTAAAATCATATGTGATAGGATCACAATTGAAAAAGAATCACGTGATGAACGAGGAATTCTTATTAGTAGATTTAACGTTTTCCATCAATATCAACAAAATGTTGATGTGTGTCGTTTGTGTAGTAGGAAAGGCAAACTGTTTAATAAGATTGAACAAGAGAAACTGAAACTGGCAAAGGAACAGTTTAAAATAATTACCGAAGAAAATGATGAAGAACCAGAACCTGATAGTGAGAGTGATAATTAATTCATAATATCTTAACAAAACATATTTTGAACTAACAAGCCCTAAAATAGATATAAAGAAATAGCCCTATAATGTATTAAGCTGATGAGTGATAATATGAAACAATTGTTCAAAATGTAAAAAGGCAAAAAACAATAGAAAACTTTGATGGAGGAAGGGCATTATGTATTAAATGTCTTGAAGAGAAAAATAAATATAGAAAAAATCACAGAGAGGAATTAAGACAAAAAGCAAAAGAGATTTATGAAAAGAACAAAAAACACATACTTGCCACATGTAAAGAATATAAAAAAGAGATACAATTCTTGAAAAGAAAAGACAGTATCGTGAAGACCACAAAGAAGAAATCAAAGATAAAAAGAAACAATACTATGAACAGAACAGGGAACAAATGCAAGAGAACAATAAACAATACAACAGTTTAAAAAGTGAATGCCCTGTTTGTAAATGTTTAGTTGGTAAATATACAATTAAAAGACATGAAGAGAGTCAACACACATTAACTAAAACTGAAAGGTCAAGAACAAACAAAACAACACAAGACTTTCTTGAAAACTTCCCAATCAAGTGGTGCAAGGTAGGTTTTAGGGGGGGCTAGCATATATATATATATATATTTCCCCACAAATTTTCGATTGTTAGTGATTCAGTGCTCAAAGTAGACTGGACTAGTGTGCACACTGTAGCATATCAAAAACTGGCAGTACTGGTATACCAATACTTCTTTTTGGCAAAGTAGTACCCTGTATCGTCTTCCCTCCAGATTTGTGCTTTCAGGAAACTGATATTGGTTATGAAAACAAGACTAATAGCTCTCATAGACCCGAAACTAAGGCGCCCTTGCCTCATGTCGAACAAATGCATCAAGAACAGTTTCAATAGTAGGGCTCAACAAGCAAAGGATTGAAGCAAAGGAGTCGGTACGCACCACATACCCTACACCGGAGGCTTGCCACCTTGTCGCAGCCCATCCCAAATCACCACTTTTCACAGACGGTAAACTGAGGTGAAAATCTCCGCATCGCAGTGCCACCCCCGCCAGCACAACGCCCAGAAGATTTCCATCGAATGTCTCCAATGCCACATCCTGCGGCTCCTTGCTTTATACGCTGTGCTTTTACACACATGCATTATTTCTGAAGCACATTTGAAAGGCTGAAGACCTGTTGCGTTTGCAGGAAGTGCCAGTGCCTATGAACATGTCTCTTGTCTGAGTAAGAGGAATGGTCCTTGGTCTCAAATGAGCACCTTCGATTGCATGATTGTACTGCTTGTCAATATTGCTTCAGGGGTGGTGGTATGCAGATGCCTGGCCAGCCTTGCTGGTACGAGCAGCATTTGCAGCCCTTCTATGCCACTTGCTTGAGCAAGCCAAGTGCTTGAAGAATCAGATCAATCGCAATCTCTTGCCAACTTGTGTTGGCAACAAGTCAGAGTATGGTGCTGCGTTTGTGAGGCCCACCATCCCGACCCCTCTCTGCTATACGCACCTGTGTGTCCTGCGCGCTGATTTGTCTGAGCCTGAAGTATTCATTGCAGAATTTTCAATCCGGCATATTCACATGAGTGGACATTGCGTTGAAGCCTTAAGGTCTTCATGCCCCGTGGCACTTCCGGAATTCAACTGGCATTGCAGTACAGCTTTGTGCTCCAGTATTGTGCGCGTGCAGTAGGAATGCCTTTGAGCATCTAGGACTGACCCCTTGATTGCTTGTTTTGTACAGGTTGGACTGAGCTTTTTCGATTAGCATGCCAGAACTCTGGAAAAATCATGTTAGAAATGCAGAAGTTCGTGATGTTGTACTTCTGGGTGACTTTGATGGCAAGGCTGATCACCCACCTGAATTAATGCCAGCTTTTGGCAACTGGCATAGAGAGTGCTTACAAAGCAAATTGCCATTTTGAATCTTGAGCAAACGCATCCTTTGAGCGGGGAGAGAGCTTCTTGGCATCATGTTGGAAGCTCTTGCTTTTTACTTTCTATCGAACGCCATCCAATGTGCTATGCTTTTCAACGGCGCACAGAGAGCATCCAGTGAGCTCTGGGATGTGTTGCCTTCTGATCTCAGATGTCGGCTTAGACCTGACTCGCCAATTGAATTCGCGCACGAAAAGGGTTGTCTCGGCCTTTGGGTATTCTGGCAAATAAAAAGCAGGACACTACAATGATTCTACAAGGTTTTTGGGAGTTTGCCGTGGGCAAAGCTGCTCTGAGGTCGGTACTGTGCTTCTTTGCACACAGGGCCGTGGAATTGGCCGAAGAGCCTTAATCAGCAAAGTTGAATGGCTTCGTGGCGAGGCTGCTCGGAGAATCCCATGAAGTTCCTTTGCACACTGCCTGAGAATCCCTTTGCCAAGCCTTTTTGCTTGCGTCATTAGCTTTTCAAAACCAAACAATCAACGTCGCACGACGCAACCTGTTTTGCTAGGTGGTGCGATCTGGAGGACACATGCAGACCTGGCTGCACAGTTGGTTTGCCAATTTGATGTCCTGTTGAGTCATTTCTTTTCTATCACCAGACGGAATACCTTTAATCAAACCACTTTGCTGCTGAAGGTTGCAGGCTAGGCTATGTTATATATATATATATATCACTTATGTTTTCGAAATGCGATGATGACTCTTGGGTCCTATTGCTTTGTCAGGTCGCGGTTTTATGACTTTCCTGGTGAACTGACAGCTGAAGTGGTTGACTCTGCTTTGGGGGTGCTGGGAAATCTTGTGCAAACATTCACAGGCGTGTGGCGTGTTGCTTTGGGTCAGGGAAGAACTCCGGTCTGCCACTGTCCAGTCTAAGACTGAGGCCTCGTAATTGATGTCCATAGGGGCTACGAGTCCACCTCCAGTTTGAGCATTTCTAAACATGTTTGAGTTTGAGTGTTTATGATTGTGATGGCATTCCTCTGCTTGCTTCTCGTACAACTGTGGCAAAATTTGTCCGCCTTTGTCTAATCGACTTCTCAACACTGCCGTGCTCAAGTGATCTTTTTGTTAGGTTTGGTGGAGCCTGTCTACTGCGTTGCACCGGGAATGAGCTTTGAGCTGTCCTACTACAGGAAGAGAAACACGCGAAGGGAAGCACTTGACACTATAGCGGTCGACACTTGAGGTTGACTATTGACGCTGACAGTCTGACAGTTGGGTGTTGTTGCATTGCAGGAACCTATGTGTGCACGTCTTCATCCACCAGGCGATCGTGACAGCAGTTCTGCATCGAGCAGTCCAGAGGTGCGAGCAACACGTGCAGCCAAGGTTTTGACTCGGCAACCCAGAGAAAAGTCTTGCCTGATATCATGTGTGATCGCTAGAAGAGTTGGACATGTAACCGACGGAAATGTCTTTGTGCGGCACTGAAATGTGGTCCTTGAGTCTCATGCATTTCTGCAGATTCATTCAGCCAGATTGTGCGAATGGTGTTTGGAGTCTAGAATGGATGCAATCTTTGGCATTATTGCAACTGCCAACATACTTGATGCTGCAACATGTGATTCCCTCATGTCCTGTTGGGAGGGAAGTCAAACAAATTGCTAAAGTCAAAAAGGTAAGGCCCCACAAGTTATACTGTAAGAAAAAGCACCACAGAACAATTGGGAGAGTTGATCAGTCAACTTGTTGTCCCTTTCCTGTCTTATTCGTGAAAGACTGATGTCCAAGTTTCTGTGAGTGCTTCTCCATAGACTGTTTCCTCAACAGCAAACACTAGACGAACATGATTTCTGTAATGGTGGACCGTAAAGGTTTCGCAAACAGACAGTGTTTGAGCGCATGCGTGCTGCTTATATTTGGTTTGATTTGTTTGCACGCCATGTATATGCTGGTATAGATGTATGCAGCACCTGTAATATGTTCCATTTTTGTTTGCCTTGTTTGGATTGAGCAACAACGGTTTCTGAAGACATATGGTCCGTGCCAGGCAGCCAAATGTTCGACGAGTTGAGCGAACCAGTATCATGTCGGACTGCTGGGCAAGAACAAAAGGGTTAAAACGCGAAGCACAGAATTCAATATTTCGAGCGCATGCAGAAAATCATCACAGAAAGACTTGGTATGAATGTGCCTGCCTGTGAACACTGTTCTGTACGACTAAGCACTCAGCTCAGCTTTTCCCGCTTCGCTTTGCAGGATGTGCGTTTTTTGAGCAGACTCCTTAAGCGCAGCTTGGCATGGTATTTCGATTGCTCTCAATGCTGACCTCAAATGAGAGAGGTCCTCACTCAGATGCAGATGAAATGACACCACTCAAGATAACCTTTAATGAAGAACAAAGTCATGCAAGTTGCAAGATTCAGGTGAATTTGTGTTCTCCGGTGCAGCTACACCAAATTCAAGCGTGCGTCCGCAAGCGGTGGCTGGAGAACAGCACTGGGGTCAGGAAAACTCAACTGTGACGTGGCTGCACTTGATAGTAGGTGATTGCTTGCTGCTCCCCTATATTTAGAAGCTAGGAAGGTTTGAGCTGCTTGCAAGGCTTTGATGCGGAATTTTGAGTCGGCTCTTGAACTTTTGGTGTCGGAGGGCGTAATAGAGTTTTGCGATGAAGGCCGGATTAACTCTGCTTGTGTTCTCTTCTTCTGGCTTTTGTTGCAAGCTTTGTGAAGAGATTCTTACGAAATGAACTACTGCGCAGGTGGTGCAATTTCTTTAGAGCAGTACTGCCAAGCCCAGGATGCCCTGGATCTCACCAAACGGAGCTTTCTTGCACAAGGTATCTAGAGAGTACAATCACGCTGGCAGAAGGCTGTTTAGTATATATACACATAAATTATGAATAAATATAGAAAAGTACTCAGTGTGAGATGTAAACTTGTACATGCCCACCCCCAATGATCTACCATTTGCTTTGTTTACAAGAGCAGAGAGACCGAGAGTCAGAGAGAGAGAGAGAGAGAGAGGGAGGAATGAGGGACAAGCAAGCTGGAAAAGGACGTGAGGCGGAAGCGAGAGTTTGCACCGCATTCTAATTGTGGGGTCCCGATCATGCAGGGTAGTGCTGAGTAAATGCATCAGGAAACAGATCAAGGTTGGTCCAAATGCTTGGCAACTTACAAAAGCTTTAACGTCTACTCATGGGAGTACCAGACAAATTGTAGAGGCAGAATTATTGCCACAAAGAGAAGAGCAGAAGCATTGCCAGCAGCACAAACAGACATTCCTCGAGAGCATGTAATGTTGAAATTCAAGGATGAAGATGCAGAAGCAGTTATTGCAAAAGCTCTGGAAGAACCAATACCGATACCAGCCCCGCTGGAGACCCCTGTGGAAGCAATGAAGAGAGGTGGAGGTGAAAGGAAGCCAAGCGGAGAAGAAACTCCAAGTAAAAGCAGAAAGTTCTCTTTGCAGATGAGAAGGCGCTTGAGAAGGTGAGGGCAGTCCCATCTACATCACTGCCAGCAGGCCAACCCAATCCAATTACTTCTTTACTGTCTTCATTGAGGGCATCATCAGCAACTTCAAGAGCAAGGGAAGAGTTTGCATTACTTGAAGAAGAAAGTCCTATGAAGAAGCTTAGGCCAGCAGATGATTCAAGCAAAAGTTTCAAGATCAACTTGGTGAAGGTTGCAGGAGAAGATCTCCATCATGTAGATGAGGAGCTACCCTCAGTTGCAGAAGAAGTTGATGAAGAAGACTGGGAGGAAGAAGGAGATGAAGAAGAAGCAGATGAAGTAAATGGACCTGAATGTTTGTGGCGTGATGGAGAACATGGACCAGAAGAAGATCCAGAAGAGTGGATAGGCAGAGTAGCTGATGAGGTTGAAGAGAAAAGACTCCAGAAGATGCAAGCGCTAGAGAGATCAGAAGGTAGCAAAGAAGGCATCAGCCACCTGACAACACGCAATATGTATGACTGGAGAAAGAAACGTTATCACCGTGAAGCTGGAACAACAAGCAAGAGGTGGAAGAGAAGACCAAGACTAATTGCAAGAGAGTGTGCTTTCGCTGAAGGAAAGAGAGATGACATTTCCCACCAGCGACTTCAGGACATGTACTGAAGCTTCTACCCACAATACTCTTACAGAGAGTTAGTGAGCAAGAGAGGGAGGAGAGGAAAAGCATTTTGCCAGATTCTAGGATGTCTTGATGTGAAAGATGCTGTTTTGCAGGTTCCAGGTTCAGCAGGAGAAGCCAATTGAAGGTGAACTTGAGAGGAGAAGAATTCTTGGTGAAGAGAAAGTACCTGGACAAAGAGTTGGGGCAAAAGCATGGTTTGGTATGTTTACCTGAACAAAGAGTTGGAGCATAAGCATGCTTTGACTTCTTTACAGAGTACCTCACCGAGGGACCCAATCACAAGTTCAGTGCTGAGTGTCCACGGCCAAGAAGAAATGAGAAGAGTATGATTGACTCGCGAGGGTGACTTGATTTTCACAGGTTGTTCAAAGTATATCAGTGAAATCTTTTTTCCAAAGATTCAAGACAGGTTTGAGACCAGTGTGAGCAAAATTGAGAGGGTTGGAGATGAATTCAATGTCCTGAGGAGGAACTACAGGTTAGAAGTCGATGGACTATGGATCCAGCCAGGTAACTATATCCAGCAGATGCTGAAAGCCTATGAAGAGCAGATTGGCAAGATCAAGCTTCAACAACTACCATCAGACAACTCCATCCAAATGGAAGACAAGTCAGAAGTGATGGATGACCAAGAAAGGATCAGCCTATTCAGGAGCATTGTTGGCTCAGGTATCTACCCTATGTCAAGAAAGGTATGATGTATCGTTTACAGTGAAGGAGTAAACTTCAAGAATGGCAATCCCAACAATTATGGCTTTTCATCACTTGAAGAAATTGTTGAGATTTGAAGAAGACTACGGACTATTGTCTAGTAGTTGAGTTCGCAGGAGAAGGCCATGTGAAGAAAGAAGAGAGCTAGTGGCGCTTGGAAACATTCCCAGATTCAGACTGGAGTGGAACAAAAGCCACAGAAAACCAACATCAGGAGGATTCCATGCAATGAACAAGTGCCCATTGTTCAATAGCAGCAGGACACAGAAGATCATCGGCTTATCTTCGTTTGAAGCAGAGTTACATGCAATAGTTTCCTCAGCGTCAGACGGAATCTACAGTCGCTCAGTTCTGGATTTGGCGCTTGGCAACAAAGGTGGATCATTACATTTTTACAGATTCGTCAAGTGCGCGCCAGCTGTGTCGAAAAGAGGAGTTGGAACAGTGAGACTTAGATGAAAAGTTGCTGTGGCTTCAAAACAGGAAAGACTACAAGTACCAACAGACAGCAACGTGAGCTTGAGAGACGAGCGTATGATTGTCAGGCAAGGTCAAAAATTGCAAAGATGATTGTCAGGATTGTTGCATTGGAGGGCTTGCAGCCACGGGTTACAGAAGCATTCATGAGAGAGAATGAAATCAAGAATGGTGGAGCTTGAAAGTATGATCAGAGAGAATGAAGAAGATGAACGCAGGATAGACAATCTCACAGACTATGCCAGAAGAATTCACAGTGGGTTGATTCTCAATGGAGACATTGTACAACAAGAAACACCCAATACCCTCGCTTTAATCAGCTATGTTGGGAGAGCTGAACGCAGGAAACTACTTAGCCAGAAGGAGCTTAGAAGACATGAGATCAACCGCAGAACAATATCATGGTCATCGGGTGACGATACAAGCAGCCAACCAAGCAGCAGCTTCCACAGAAGGACCATTGTCAAGAAGGTTTAAGCCAGGGAACAGACACCAAATGAACAAAGTGGAATGTGAAAAGGAACAGGCAGTACAGATATGTGGTCGACGTGAGAGAAAGGTTGAGCAACTGACAGAAAGACGTTGGGGGCTGCTAGGAAGGCCAAGAAGAACTAGCAAACACAGTTAAACATGAGAAAGAACAACATGAGAGGTTGCTAGAATTAGCAGAGGAAAGAAGAGACAACTCAGAGAATGTACTAGCAGACGCCTGAAGAAATTCTACAGAAACCTGAGGGAAACAGAATGAACTATGGTTGCTGAGTGAGCTAAAACAGCAGTTCGAGCGCTCACACTGCGAAGAAGGAGTGTGAAAGAGTTTCAAGGTGAATCACAGGTAACATTGTGCAGGGCAGTTTGTTTAGTTGATTTGTATGCAGCCCTCTTGGATTAAGGAAAAAATCACATATATAGGTCCTAAGTGTATGAAGGAGAGAATGTTAAATGTCTTTGCACTTTCCAGCTGTGCAAAAGAATGGGCCACCGGCCGTTTCAAAATCACACTTTAACTTCCAGTCCGTCGGTATAGGAAGCTTCATGTTCTGGTTGTGCCAGGAGATGGGAGGCTATGATCACTGGAACAAGCACTTTACCTTCTTGTGCTCGCTGGTGTGGCCCCTGATAGATGCTTGGGCAATGCTTGGGACGGATGATCTGATGAGTTTGCTGACTTCTGTAGGCTGAAAGCTTTTGCCATGCACATGAAGGACAAAGAGGAAGAAGTCAACAGAGTTGAGAAAGAACTTTCAGATTTCACGGAAACAGGCAGGTGTCTTCGCTTAGAGGAGCCGTGATCTGATTTGACTTAGGAAAGCTACTGGCTGGTTTTGGTGCCTTGGTTCCGGTTCCAGCTCTACCTTGTGTAATCTTCGCCATTTCTGGCTAAGCTCAGGCATCACTTCTGTATATATTCCGTCACGGCCTTGTAATCATTGGAGAACGCCAAGCGGTGGCCTGCATGCAGACCTTTGCCAAGACTTTAGTCCACACTGGTCATGTCCAGTACGACGAGGCGAATGAACATAACTGCCAGTTTAAGCACCCACGAATAATTTGGTGCCTCTTGGCTTTTATATAACTTCATAGTTTTGGGAGTTCAGACAACATTCATGGCTTTGTTCGAGATGCAGAAACGCAGGGATTCTGGGTTCGCCTGTGTTGGCTGGGGTCGCCTGGTCGCCTCTGTCTAGCTGGCTGTCTTTGCAGGCTGCCTCTGCCGAGCCCCTGAAGTTCGCACTGCAAACCTACGGGGAGCTGGGAATCGTTCGCTGGGCACGCAGAACCGGAGAACAAGGGGACGCTTGACATGCATTTCAGAGTTGATCTCCTGTTATTTTGACCAAACGTGCGAGACAGTTTTTTGATACAGAGTTTTAGCTTCTTTCAAATGACTATGTGCGATCCTGAATTGCAGCGAATGACAAAGGGTTGTTTTGAATGATTCCAGACATAACTGACATGTGGTATTCATTTTGGGTCTCAAGCCTTTGCCTTACTACATTTTTGGGGTTTGAACAGACTTCTATGGCATCTCGTGGCAGGTTTTCCGTACAAAAGCATTCACATACTGGTTTGACAGCTCTTCGGTTCATTATGTAATTTATGAATGGCTCTGCAGAAGGCACTTTCCCAAAGGTGAATGATGATGCTCTATTCCAAGGTAGTGACCGAAGCCCGCCACCCGTGATCCGCACCAAGAATCAAACAAACACTGCGCTTATATTTCTAGGTGTGATGGGAACCGGGGTGGAGCATTTCATCAGGACGCACGACAGGTGCACTGAATGTGTGAGAGCAAGTAGCTGGCTCGGCCGGGCCGCACAGATCGTTTCTGGTCCGGTTCGGGAGGGGATGGGAAGGGGTGGTGGGGTAAACACCAAATGTGGCATGGTGCTTTTGAAAAGGCTTTTAACAAATTGGAAGCACGGCAGTCGCTGCAACAATACAACCTTGGACCGATGTATATAAGCAAACATTGTGCAAGATTTGATGCGCTTTTGACCTGTAGTGTATCCTTCGTGTGTATTGTGTGTTGGTGCTCTCTCACAAATGAATCACCATCAGCAAGAAGCGGGCCATCAAGGACCATTTGACTTTGGGCAATAAGCTCATTGAGATCAATAACAGGGTCAATGCTTCGCATTTAGACAGTCCCGGAACATTGATTCATGTCATTGATGTGCAGGCTTGCGTTTGGAGCGTTGCTTTGCAACATGTGCACAGCAATGCATTCAACTGAGTACTGTGCAAGTTAAACAAGCCCAAATAGATGCATACAGCTTGAGTTTCTATTTTTATGGTTGCCGTGTAACAGTGTAACGGAGCATTGGTGAAAGCGGACGTCGCCTGGGCCTGACAGACGCTGTGAGGAACAAATCGTGGCTTTGGAGCTAGAGCCGGAATACAGAGGCAAAAGGGGATGTCACAAGTGAGCTTTAGCTGCGTTTTAAGAAGCGAAGGATGTAGGGTTTAGGGTTTAGGATTGAGAATAATAATGTTTGTAGGGCCTCCCCCTAAAAACGATGGCCTCCAACCTTCTTAGCCGGTCTTAGCCTTAAGAAGCGAAGGATGTAGGCCAGAATGCAAAGTATTTTTCTTCTTGCCAGGGAATGAAGGCGACAAGTTCGGCGAGCTTACTCGACTAACCAATGCCGTTGCCTCGTATCGCCGATGTTGGCGAGAGCAGGACGGTTTTCCATTTGTGCGAGAGTGCAATGACATGACAGCCAGACGAAAGCTTTCCACACAAAAAAGTAAAGAACGATTTCTGTGACAACTGGTGATTCGAGCGATTGTCCACAGGAGGGCCCCGAAGATTTTCCGGACTACGTGGCCAGAATGGCCTTCTCGTCTCGGCTTTGAGCCACAATGGGGAGGAGGTTCATGATTTCTTTAGGTATTCATTGCCTATGTCAATGTGCTGTGCTAAACTTTGTGAATTCGTTGCCTGTTTTGGATGGTCTCTGCAAGCTGGCAGAGGAACATCTTAGTTGCTTTAAGTCACCAACTCAAATTGGAGCAGAGGCGTCAAAGACCCCATTTTGGAGACTTTTCAGATTGGAAGGTGTGGAGTCATGAGCCATTTGGCTTGGCCTCCGATCACTTTTTTCTGTTCAAATGACTCCGGGGTCTGAGGAATTTAGCTGGAAAAACATGCGATGCCCCAAATGATGACCCTCAATTGAGTCATTACATCCGGAACTCCGCTAGCGGCTGGCAATTTTGATTCAATTCCCTTCATGTTCATTTCATGTTGACAATCTCAACACTATGCTAGGCTGCCTCCCTTGTGTCGCTAAGTATATAGCTTGACACAGATATATGTCCCAGACAGTTGGGGTTTCACAGCAAACCCTGTCAGGTTGTTGCTCACAGTTTCTTTTCTTCACCAAACAGCGAAGAGCTACAAGACGACACGGGTCTTGGTTGCCATCATATCCAAGTGCATCCTTCGGTGGTTAGAATAGCGGTTGAGGCACAGCAAGGCACACTGGAGCTTAGCCGGATGGCCTGCATGCTTGGACAGACAGATGTAGCACAAATGGGAATGTACAGGAGAAGATGCTCGCCGCGCGCGCATTTTGGTTCGGAGGGGTGGAGGCTTCGGTCTCCAGTTTTCCGTTTCGTGATGGCTCCGTGGCAGTGGACTTAGTAGGGGGAACTGCGAGAGTGGCCGCCTGAGATCACCAGATACGCAAATCGTGCCCTTTCGAAGGCAAACCAAGCCGGCCATGTTGGCACCCGTTCTCACCGTTCTTTGTTTGGTGCCGATCTCAGTATTGACAACAGTACAAAATTAGGGAGTTCTGGTCACAGTCATTTTTGCAAGCTTACAGATCTCTCTTCATGCCCTCGCCTCTTTGCGTGCTTCCATTGTGGTACTTGCAAAGTTCAGAAAGACATCCTTGATTATCAACGAGCCACAAACAATCAGTCTACGGCAATATTGTTCACACGTCTTTTCACTGCACAAGGTGTATGCAGACTCTTTGCACACTGTTCTTCCTTGCTGCTTTGTTTGACCTTCGGGGGACCAGAGCAATGCTTGCTTTCTTTCAAAACTCCACGAAAGTGTCTTTGGGACATACTTGTCCTCCAACTGAGAAGCGTTATGGAGGACCTGATACTGCAGCTACTGATTCTTTTTGTCCCAAAGTCTACCCCATCATCACCCCTTGACGTCGCTGTTCAATCCTGGTCTGCTTGACAAATGTGAGCACGTACAATGTGATGCTGAAAACACTTTTGGACAATCTGCTCAACACTCAAAATCGCTCCTGGAGGAGCTTCAAAGCTTGTTTTTTGGGGTTTTCAAGAAGCACCTCCACGACTTCAGGATAGTTGTGTGAGTGACTTCTTGCCATGTTTGCCTCCAAAAGGATCCCAAACACCGCATGAAACACTTGCACTCTTTTTGGGGTTCCTGTAGACAGACCTCTGATTTTTCCAACATCAATGTGAGAGTGTCAAAACATTGTTCCTAGTAGTATGGCCAGGAGCCCCTAGTAGCGTCCTTGTTCCTAGTAGCGATGCCAGGAGCCCCTAGTAGCGTCCATGCTCCTAGTAGTAAGGCCAGGAGCCCCTAGCAGCGTCCATGTTCCCCTACAAGTTTTAAGGACCAAACCGTTATAGAACTGCATATCAGCATATCATGCTGTCAACATGTGGAAGATGGCTTCAAATCAAGCATGGAACCCCTGTCATTTGTGCCATATTGTGGGGAAAAGCACTTCACATACTGTAAACTTATGGTATATCACATATATACTGTACATCACAGGTCCGTGCGTACTGTGAACCACCAGTTTTGCCATACATGAAGAGCCCATGTCTTCTCTTGACTGTCATGTCATCATTTTCTTGTTTCTTTCTTCCTCTCCTGTCCAGTACCAAATTGTCGAGTGCCTTGATTACTTTGACAGGATTGAAGCGATTAGCCCACAGCAGATCTGTTGGTTCCAATTGTGCTCGTGTTGCTTTCTGCAGGTGGCCATATTTTCACCTTCTTGCTTTATTCTTTCCAGACCAAGCCCGAGGCAAGTCCTGTGAAAGGTCATGGAAGCGCAATAAATTTACTGTATATAGACGTCAGTGGTGGTAAGGTGGTAGGCTAGCTAGTACAGCAACATGTTCATATTCCTGGTTGGTCAAATGACTTTTCCGGTTATTGTTCACCACAGCTTTGAATTGGTTGGACAGGGCCCAAAGCAAGTTGTTGTTTCAGCACAAAGGCCAGTAGAGCCAACACCTGAACACCTGAATGAGACAAAACTAGCAAAAGAAATTAGGGATGCATCATGGGAATGAACTTAGAGTATCGTTTCGATTTCAGTCCAGGCCGCCAGATTGTTGCCATGCATGACTTCAAATATCTGTATGTGCAAAACTTCTCATGCATATCACATATGTAGTGATCAACTGACTCTTGGAATGAGACAGACTTTAGAACTCGTTCTCGCCAGGCTGCCTTCCCAGCCCAACGCAGAGTGGCTACCTTAGTCTTTAGCGGTGAATACTGCCCGACTTGCGAACATGTTTCAACATGCTGTGCCTTTTAACAAGATCGGGTGCCTTACTCTGGATTCAGGGTTGCGGACTGTGGTTCTCAGTGAGAGCAAGACGTCTTCTATGTCTCTAAACTCTAAACCAACAAAACTTAGCTCTGTCCAGTCAGAGTTGAATTCACAACTGTCCAACTCATGAGTCAAGGGCTGTTATGCTGCGAACTGAATACTCACTGAATACAACATCATCACTTCCCCATGTCAACTCGGGGACAAGCAAACCTAAACAAAAGTGGCAGCTAACAGGGTGTTTGAACACACAAACTGGCAGGTGTGCGAAACATCTTTCTCGGTTGAGCTTGGCAGCTCTTCCAACAAATGTTGCTAACTGTTCTAGGGCCTTCCAGGAAAAGCGTGAACATGTTTGACTGAAAACTAATTGTCTGTATTCTTCGTTGTTGCTAGATTTCCAAGTGAGAGCTGATTCGCTCACATCTGGTCTTGGATCTTGTTGGCAGCTGGATTGGTCGATCCTTGGCTGCTTTGTTACGTTGAGACTCAGTAACGACTTTGATTCATGACAGCGTACGTAGGGATTGGTTTGTCTTTCCTTTCTGCATGCATGTGTTTCTGCATGTGTCTTCTTCGTCTTATTCCGTCCAAAACCCAATGAAGAAAGTGGCTTCATAATTGAACATGAGACTGTGATGCATCTGGGGGAACTCAAATGTGTACCTACTACCTTGATACTGGCAGCTTGATTTGTCCGTGAGTCTGAGGTTCACCCTTCCGAATGTCCACTGTTTCGGGATCAATTTCTATATATATATATATAGACTAGGGTACTTTACATACACTCAATAATCCCGACATGTAGTGAGCTTAGCTCGCTACAGTAATCAGACAGACTCCTTGGCAGCTTTCCATGCTGTTGGATAAATGTGAGATCAAACGGTATGACCTGGTTTGTGCTGGTTCTGCTGTATCAGGCACATCCAAGTTGGTAACATCCATCGTGGCTCTTACAGCTTTTAGTTTCATGCTTGTTGTGTCTTGTTGAAACTTTTGCGCGCTTGCATCAAGCAGACCTCCAAACATGTAGGCATAGGCATAACCTGTTATATAGATTATTCATCTAGTTCAGATAGTCTGACATCCAACCATAGCTTGTGCCAGAAAAACATATGATCTTAAACAAACATACATTTGCTATCAAACATCTTAGTATTCTATAGCCTCATCAATGCTGGTTTTGGCTTGAATCTCGGATGCATTCATCAATGCTGCAAACAAAGTAGTAGCGGTACCATGCTGATCATGATGAAAACAACTAGTATGTCAAGCCTTCATTGCTACGAAACAATCAGGAGCTTGAATACCTTCAAGATTAATTGCGCCAGAAGTGCTACCTCCAATATTGGCAACTGATGGCAAGTGTATCCACAAAACTGTCCACATCAATATTTATTGTCGACTACTATGTCAGAAGTATCAATATCAGGAAGTTGTCTACAAAGGATGAAGGAGGTAGTTGTCAAAGGTCATTTGGCTGCTCAATGCCTTGAAACTCGCAAAGCTTCAGGGCGAACTAGCTTAGCTCGAGCTAGTTCCTCCCTGGAACCAATAAACAAGAACCATGCTGGAAAAGTTTCTGGTGAATTTTGGTTCCCGGCCAGAGCCAGATCGAACCAGTTTTTGTACACATCCCAGAGCTAAATAGAAGAATGCAAGCCATATTACACAAAACCATGCTCCAGATCAGCTTCAAAACATCATGCCACCACACCAAATATATGTATAGTATATATATACACACATATTGCATGTATATATATACATACACATGGTACCACCCCTTCCATAGAGGTCCAATTTGCTCACCTGTACTTAGGAGTTTTTGACCTCCAAAAAGACTATTGTACACGTTTCTTTTGCTTCGAGATTCATGATTCCCCAGAAAAGTCTTTCTCCACAAATCTTGAATCACTCACTCAGGCTTCTTCTGTGTTTTGTTTTTCGCAAGAAGGTTCAATACTACCCAGAAACGTTTTTCCACGAATCTTGAACCCTGTACACAGGTTTTTTCGGGCAAACAGTATTTTGTGAACCTGAGCTAGATCATGGTCCCAACAAGTCACCAATTGACACCTGAAGACCCACATGAGTTGGCATGGACGTGAGCTGCATTCACACCGTGGCTCAAGGTATGAAAACATTTGCACATTGCACTTCTGCCAGTGCAGGCCTTCTCAGTCACCTCCCCTGAATTTGGTCAGATCATTTTGGTCTTTCACTTCTATGTCCCAGGGCGCTGACAGCACTACGGCGTCACTTTTGATCTTACGATTCTGACCGTGCTTGCCACCTGCCGTGGCTATATATGCAGCATGTTGGTGACATCACTGCAGCTTTCCGGCACGGACTTGGCTTCTCATGCGGCCGCCGTCGGGCCGTCCGGTAGAATTCCTGGAGTCAAGCCTGGACCTTTACTTTTTGAGCAAAGAGCCTGTCTATGGAACAAAGGATGCTCCTCAAGCGTTTCAGTCTTCACTGCACCGTAGTTTGCCGCCCGTGACTAAGCGAATGGACACTCCTGAGGGTCATGAGCGATCTCTTTTTCGTTGCAGCACACTCTAGTCGCTCAGGCCAAAAACAAAACAGTGGGTGTGAGAAGCTAGATCCGTGTCCCTACAAGTCTCCAATGGACACCTGAAGACCCACATGAGTTGTGAGCTGCCTCCACACACTCTCACATGACGCTGAACCGTGGCTCAAGGCATGAAAATATTTGCGCATTGCAGTGCTGCCAGGGCGGGGTCTTCTCATATTTAAAATGAAATGTTTTTAGTATTTTTAGGTTCAATTTTCACTAGAAACGTTTTTCCCACAAATGTTGGATCCTCTACTTAGATCACTTTTGGCACCAGCAAAAATATCCATGTATATAAATATATTATTGGATTCAAGCTTCAACACTCGAACGTGTTGCACAATATTCTTTTGGCAGACTTATCCAGATACAGGCGAAAAATCAAGAACAGTTCACCAAGCTTTGCAATAGCACCGCTTTTTCTAAATGCATGGTTCCCCGTGGATTAACATCAAAGCAGTCAGAAAATGAACACACCACTAAATGCCAATGAATCCTTTAAAAGGTAGATCTTTTTGAGGGTACCATATATATTGACATGTATATACTTATATATGTACACAGAAATACACACACATGCAGATGCATATTCAGGCCCAGCCGTGCTTCAAGTCAACAATTTGAAGGCTTTGGTGAGACTCTCAGTTGAACCTGTACCATTATGGCTTAGCATCATGTGCGACACCAGAGTCCCGTTGAACATGCATTCCTATCCTTCCCAGCAAGGCACAGGAAGTTCAATGACGATAGCAATGACCGCCCAGAACTCAATTTGTTTAGCTGATTTGTTTCATTGCTGTGTAACTTTTCAATTTGGCCAATCGATCAGTTTGGGTGAAAGTCGACCACAACTGATTTTCTTAAATAACATAGCAATCAAGCAGGAAAAACCAACGGGTCATGTTTCTACTTGATCCTGAGCGATGCTGAAGGCAATAGCAGCTTTCACTGCAAAGGTGCTGCGGTCCAAAGTGACTAGGCGCAGCTGTCCTGTGGATGGCAGCTTGAAAGTAGACATAGGATCCAGCTGCTGTATTGTGCCGTTTTTGAATACGTGTAGGAAAAAACCCGTCTATGCCGATTTTGTGAGGATAGCACGTGACTAAGGTCTTGAACCCATGTCACCGTCACTGGTGTTCTGATAGTTTTTTTCAGACAAAACTCTTGCTTCTCCAGTGGGCTGGACTGTTTATGAAAGCAAGCCAGCTGAAGTTGATGGCTAGTAGAATGAGTAAAGTGATTGTCGGGGCTGTTGGATCGTTTGAAGGCATCGGCCACAGACACGAACTTGATGGATGACAAAGAGCTGGACTGGCCAAATGTAGAAGTTGGGGGATGCTGAAAGAGCAGACGCAAGGGGGAAAGGACAAATGGATGCCCTGTTGATTGGTGGATTCATGATGAGGAGCCTGGGAGAACCCGTGCTCTGGCACAAAAAGGGGCTGCTTTCCTTTTCTCTCCCGTCTCACATAGGGTTTGTCCAGTGGGATATTGTTTGCTAGTGTGCAACTTTTACCTTGTGAAGATACCATTGCCAAGATTCAAAAAGATTTCTGCTGGATACAGACAGGTTGAGTTGAGCCAGGGCAAACGGGGTGCTTCCTTTTTCTTGTTTCTTTCTTCTTCAATGTACACGGCGGTTGCAGTAACGTGAACTATACAGGTGCTTTCCGCACTCTGGAAAGTCTGGCAACTTAACTTACAGCCGTTGAGAGCCCCTTCCTGATGGATGCAACATCTTATCCATACTTGAGCGGCTCGAGCGCGAGGATCAAGCCTTTTAGCAAGGCCTCAGCATTTCAGCGTTCTTTCAATTTTTCCATCATATTCTGTTTCTTGCAGCGGTCAGCCCGCGCAACTTGGCCTTTGTCTCCCACTTCTCTCGCCACTTGCGTCCTGTTTGCGGATGACTTGCCCTTGGTCCCACTTGTTTGCCCACTGGGTAGGTCCAAGACTTGGCACTTGCGCCAAATGGTCTCCCCACATGCATGTCTCTCACTTCTCTTGGTTGGACTTGGCCTTTGTTCCCAATGCCTTGGCTTCGGCTCTCAATTCTTGCAATCATAAGGATGTGGCCTTTGTTTTCCTTCTTGTCTCTGACGTTGTTGAGTTTGCAGATGTGTCGTCCTTTTTTCTTTACTTGGTTGGTAATTGTTTTCTCTTATAATCTATATAGATGCTTCCCGCCTTGCATTTCAACATTGCAACTGATGATGTCCTTTTGGGGGTAGCATGATTGTGCACTTTCTTTGTGCTGTGCAGGCATGCCAGAATTATAGGCACCAGGGATGATTTCAAAAAAGCAGCACCAAACTGGTGTGGCTGGCCTGATTCCGTGTAGCGTTTGTTTGTGTGACATTGAACTTTCGTGGTCGGCCCAAACGTGTGTTTGCGTGCCAGGGAAGAGTGCCCCAAGCCAGAAGAACGAGTCAGGAATTACTATTATGGGCAGCGCGGCACTGGCCTCAGTCACGCTAACAATCTAGTTTGGGCAGCTGTTGCTATTCTTATCCATAAATGGCCACAAGTTGTGGAGTTATGGCACTGTCGACAGTTGAGTAGAGTTTGCCAAGAAGCGAGTTTGCCATTCTTACTGCCAGTCGCAAGCCTTTTGCCACGAAGTAGTTTCAACATGTCCTTTCATGTACTATGCCACTATGCCAAGCTATGCGTAGCTATACGGCTATACGTACTCCTTGTGGAGTGATATTGGAACTTATATAGGCATATATAAGTGTTACTTTTGGGGACATGGCTGTGGACGAGCTTTTGGGGCTCAAAGGACAGAAAGCTGTCTGGTGGGTGGGCTTTGAAGCCACGTGCAGGATGGCAGGGCTATGCCTTGCCTTAGCCATGTGCGTGGCGGCTGACCGGTGGTAGCAACGCCTTGGAAGCGCAGTGGCCGCGGATGGAGGAAGCGGCCTACAAGTGGACGGTCGAGAGCCACCGGCCGGTCACCCTTTCGACTTGGCCTATGGCTGGTGGTGGACACCGTTGCAGGCCTTTTTGGCAGCGTGTGGGCTCGCGTGAAGTCCTCGCCTTGCGTTTGGTGGCGCACTACGTATGGGCGGTGTGCTACCCCATCGTCTCAGTGATGGATGGCCGTGGTGCGGGTCTGTCGGAAGATCCTCATGGTGAGTGGGTGGTCTGGGGACTCCACTGAAGGATATCACAGAGGGCATCCACCAGAGCTGGCTTGGAGGGATATGAGCACATGGCGGAGACACCATTGGCAACCAAGTCCCCCAGGATTGAACAAGGCGTTCGCTCCGTTCTGCGGGGATGTGAAGGAGAGAGTCGACGAATGATTGGAGGAGAACCTTGTGGGGGATAAGAGCCCGCTAACAGAGAGAGCTTATGGAGGAACGGAGCAAATGGTGCGCCAAGCAAGGCACCCTCGAGCACGAGAACAAGCTGCTGGCCTACGCGGGGCACCTGGGTTGAGAGCTTCGCCAAACACGACCCTCCAACACCTGTTTGGCATGAAGAACGTTCGCCTGCTGGAGGGCGTGCGCCCCACCTGGATCCGGAGATGCTGGTGTGTCTTGGGAAGAACTTGGTCACCAATCCATCGCTGCAGACGGCCTGGTTCTTCGTACTTCGAGCGAAGGAGTTCGGCGAGTCAGAAGGGGCTGTGACATCTGCACCTCCAGGACAGGCCACCGAGGTCACTGGGTCCCAAGAGAGAAGTTGAAGCTTCTGTTCAGATGACTCACTGAGCCACCTCAGACATCGAGCTGGCGAAGAGGATGGGGAGGTGGTTTTGTTAGCGGTACAGAGGCGCCTGTTCGATGGAGGAAGGGGGAGTGCTTCCTCCAAGCAGATGGCGCAAGGAGGGGAGAAAGAGAAGAAGGTCACGGTGGCCAGAAAGGGTCCCTGACCACACACAAACCAAAAGGGGTTGAGAAACCAACTGAAGTGTGCCCTGCCGCCAAGACAGTCGCGCGGAGGGCAGCATGGCGCACCAAAGTTGGAACTTAGCCTTAATAAGAGAAGAGTTCGTTTTGGGGACATGGCTGCGAGCTCTTGGGGCCAAAGGATTAGAAAGCTGTCTGCCCGCCCCTGCCACCCAGGGGCCGGAAAGGGTCAACCAGTCAACCCAAAAGCGGTTGAGAAACCAACTGAAGGGTGTGCCCTGCTGCCAAAACAGTCGCGCGGAGTGGTGCACCAAAGTGGGATGTGAAGGGGTAACCCTCGCTCAGTTACAGTACATATATACTCGCAGCAGGCCGCATGACCTTTTTGTTGTATGCTATGCCATAGCTTCAAGACGCTGTCCAGTGCCAGTGCCGAGGCTTTAAGAAGAATCAAATAGACCCTCGCTATCGTGACAAGGACAGACATCCCAGGCGTGTCACTGTTGCAGACTACAACAGGCTGGCAAAGCTGACAATGAATGAGCTTTGGAAGGAGCCTGCGCGAATGAAATTGGGCCACATCACTGATGTGCTTTGGCTTCAAGCTTTGCAACGTTGATGGGCACATGGTGTTTGTATACCATAGATTTGATGAATTATATATAAGCGGAAAGGATGCTGGTAGGTCCGAATGATTCTTTCTAATCGTGGCAGACGCGCTGGAACTTTGCCTGAGATTTCAATGAGGGTTGCAGTTGGCCTTTCAGATTCTTAGCCAGAGATCAACTTGGCACGATTGAGCGCCGAAATGTTCACTTGGTCGTGGGTGCTTTAAAGCAATTACAAGTAGTCATTGTTCGAGTCGTTCGACAAGGCAACAGCAATCTTCAAGACGCAGGACTGTGTCACAGCTGTGATTTGGTTGAAGCAACCTTGTGCACACATGCGTATTGTAAATGCTTGCATGCAAACATGCAACATGCAGTGCAAAGACTGCAGTTCGACAGGACTTCTACAAAGCTGACTTCGTTGATTTAGACGCCAGCAGTGTCAAGGAGGCTGTGTTTGTCAGCAAACTTTTCCTTGCCTTTACTGTTGCTTCCGCAAGTTGTAGTAGTCCGCGGGGTGTTTTGTCATAGTCATAGAAGCATCTCTTTGAAACAATTGAAATGAGCGAGGTGGGATCATACCAGGTGGCAGGGACAGGCAAAGTGGCCATCCCTGCAAAAGCACGGTGGCTCAGTCACCAGTGGCATCGTGGATGGATTTTCATGCCCTTATATTGATTTATAGTGATATATATATATGTAATATATAAAGATTATATGTATATATATATATATGTATTTGCATGTACATATCTATTTATATGTGCATATATATATATATCTCAATAAATAGATGTGTATCTACACAGTAATTTGCAATGCAGCGTTGTCAAAGGGTGCCTGGGCCATGCCTGCTGCAACTACACAGCAACCTGCAACTCTACTTTGTCCTCCCCGGAACTTTTTCCTGCATGGCATCTGAACAAACTTGACCTTGGTACAGAAGCTCCTTGTCCAAGCCACACGAGTACAGTTCCCAGCGCCTGCACGCAAAGTCAGTTTTCCATTCTTTGAGCACGCTTCTTTTACTAAAATATGTCATTTCACGTCGCTTCAAGACCATGAGTACATGTGCCCTAAAAGGGAGCGCAGCCTCCCTCTTCCTGAAAAACAAGGTAACGCGCCCCTGTTTGGGACATGTTTTGTTAGAAAATACCATGTGTTTTTGCTAGTGTGGAAAACGGTCATTTGAGGCCAAGGACGACGAAACGTTATTTCCACGAATTTCAAGGGAGGAAACCAATGGAAACCACTTTTTTCAACAGCGTGTGCGCAAGATCTTCGAAAGGGTGTGTGCATGTGGTATCATCTTCCAAGCATATCCACCCAACGCAATTAATTATATACCCCGTCACCCAACCCCACCCACCCCACCCCACCGATCTTCCCAAGCTTCTGTGGATGTGGCGTCATCTTCCAAGCATATCCAACACACTACCACCGACAAGCGCAAAAATTCCGAAGCGGAAGGAAATTCAGGTCCAACCACACAAAAAGGAACTGTGAACAAGTACAAAGAAGCTAGGGGTTGTCCTGATTCAACATAACAAACTAACATTTGTGATTCAAAGCGAACATGTCAAAGTCCAAACTTTCACGCCTATTGCAACGACATCGGACAACTCTTCGTGGTTTGATAAAAATTGCATGACTACTTACTAGCGGGGTTGTCGACCCGCTAGCATTGAAATGTACATCATTTTCCCCCCAGTGGCCCTGCGAAAATCAGAAAACATTGCAAATACCACATGAAATTGGGAGCACTTGCTCAAGAAGACAAAAGCGTACGGCGGTGACGGGGCGTGACACCAACAACAAGTCAGGCACTTTGCAACAAATGCAGCAGATCTTCTAATTTTGCCCTGATCTATTTCTTTCAGTTACTACTATATCAGGCTCGCACTATTTTGAGGGGTTGGAAGGACACACACCACCATCGCCCCACCTGGAAGGGGAGGTAAAATCTTCAAGGCAATTGTGCTATGTGTCTATGTAGAGTCTATCCTAGCAAAAGCAGATTTGGTCAGATTTGATTGGTTCATGTTGCTTTGCTGGGGTTTGCGTATGGGTGACCCAAAGGCCTGAAAGTTAGACTCAAAAGGGAGCCCCCCTGGCACAGGTGGCGGGGTAGGGGCTTCATGCGGTCTTGCGACACTTGAACATGAACCCAAATGAAATTCAGAACTATATACATTGTGCAAGTGGCCCCCACAGATGGCAGGAAAGGTGATGGATGCAAAGAGCCGCTGTGAACAATTGAAAACAGGGAGACACTCACTTACGCCGCAGGTGAATCTCTTAACGCCAGAGCAAAGCCACGGTCCTACGAGCAGTCCACAAAGGGAGACCCAGCCATTGGAGGCCTGAACATGCAAAGTCAAAACATCAAAGAGCGATTAGCAGCTGAAATGCAGTGCGTGGTAGGGGCACATCTACGCTGCGTGGATGCTCCCAAGATACGTTCAGCCATTGATGTTCGATGACAGGGTCAGCGACCCAAAAATGCGCTTGCTGGCTGAAGAAGCATGGAACCCCCATGGTCAAGTTGACCTACATTCTTTTTGCACAAGGGGAGCAGTCCCTCAAGCGACCTGATCTTCATCAAACATGCAAAGCCACAACCGTCATCATAGGACGACCATAGGACGACGGACCACAGCAATCATGGCAGAGCAGGGCCCAGATATCACCGGGAGTAGCATGGCCCCATTAGCATCCCTTGTGCCTGAGCGCCTACAGATTTCTACATGTTTTTGCTGCAATAGAACTACTTTAGATCCAATCCGGGTGACAACGAGAATGCTTCATTATGCATTCGAAGAAAAGCCCGGGGGGCAGCATGTTTTCATGTCAAAATCTAAACTCTGGTGTGAGCGAGTAGAGAATGTGCTTGGGCTGGACACTCAAGTCGAACTCACAACACGCTCAAAATATCGATGGGATTTTTCATACCAAGTTGCGGATTTGCGCAAACAATTTTTATCAGATTCCTTGGAATCATGGCTGTAAGAGACTCAATATGTAATTTGGAGCCAGCAGATTGACCTTCACGGGCTCTATCCCCGGAAAGGTTGTTGGAATGCGGGGCCTTTCCTGTCTAGCGTTCTGTGCTTCGAGCCCTTTGTATCTCCTGTTTTGCTTGTGGCTTTGCGTTGGCTTCGTGCTGACCGTCCTGCTTCGACTTTGGCTGTTGTTTCACCGCCGTTCTTGGCTCATCCCTGTGCAATCCTCGGGCTCCGTCTCCTGCTTTACGCCTGGGTGCGTATTTGTATCAGTCCCGTCTGAGATCGCTTTGTTGATTGAGGCTGTCTGAACCTTTGTGGTTGCTTGCTGACTCTGGACTCTGCTGATTGGGCCTTGGCTGACCCTTTGCCACCTTGAGCATTGTTGATCTTCGTGATTGCCAGAGCAGCAGAAAGCAGGTGACCAGGGGAACCAGCAGCGGACAGCAGCAAGAGCGGTGTAAGTTGCATTGTGTAAGTTCAGGAGGAGGCGGACGGGGAGTAGCACAGTAAAGATAAGAACTCCACACCAGCTAGCATGTGACATGCGGGAATAAATTTGAGAGAGGAAAGCAACGAAGGAAGGACACATAAGTATTAGGAAAACAGTCGTAGAAATTAGGCAGGTGGTGAGGGCGTGGTGACCAGGAGGTTTGACTCTACAGAATTATGATCCCACAAGTCAATTTCTAAAAGAAGCAATTGAAATTGGAATCCAATTGAATGTATTTTGTTTGGTCAATTGACATTCTGCATATAGGAGTAAACAAAACTATCAACAAACATCTTTTTTAAATTGAGAGGAGGGTGGTGAGGGTGGGACCAGCAATGATTGAAAGTATTTATCACGGCAAAAATTTGAAAAGTCAGAGGCCATCAGCCCTGATATCTGATAGCTGGTCTTACGTACCCAGGCCTGGCGTGACATGCAAACTAGCAGAGGCTCAATATTTCATACCAACACCACAAGATTTCTTAGCACGCCATGACTAAACATAGAATACTGTTAATGGAAATTCCAAGGAATCTAAGATTACATTTCCAAACTGAACCTTGACGAATCTTGTATATCCATTTACAAGACGCGTCTTTTTGGATGTGGTAGAGACTTGAAGAACTGAATGCAGTTCAACCCGCTTTCGATCAGGTTGAATGGTGCGTTAATACAATTAAACTCATGGTGTCTTGACCCGAAACAGTATTTCTCTGTGGATGTTCTTTTTCTTCTGACAAGTCAAAGAGCACTGGACGTAGAACAGGTTATGAGCCCAAGCTTGTCATTGTCATTGTATGTTTAGAATAAGACGCAGCCTAAGAAAAGAAGTGTATGTATATAAGCGCATGTTTTTGTTGGATATGATTCTCAATGCTTTTTTATATATTTTTTTATTTTTGATGATCATTGTATAATGTGATTCTTATTACTGTACTACTGATCATCGTGTATTGTAGTCAATTGTTATTCAGTAATGCTGTTGACGCACAGTGTCAAAAAACCTTGCGAAAGCAAGTTCCCTCCAGTGCAGCCTTGTTTGAGGTCCCTGAGTACCGGCCCATCCAGCGTGGGAAGCGATTGGAGAAGGAACCTGTCAGAGAGCTGAGTGAGCAGCGATTTTGATGAAACATGTTTCAGACGCCAGCCAAATTTTTTGCGAACAGGGCGTGCTGGCATTTCTCTCAAATCATTGGTTCAATTCAAGTTCTTTCTTTTTTTGCCGAGTCAATAGTTGTGCTCACTTGCCAATGCATTTGATGTTTTTCTCTATATCACTGTTCTCATGAAACAAACACCATGAGACACAAACCTCGACCAACCCAAACCTCGACCAACCTTTGTATACAGCGCAGTCTAGGATGGGTCAGTTTTTCAACCTTTTGTCAAGAAAGCTCGTCATTCAGGCAAAAGGAATGTGCATGCTGTCTAAGGGCGAAAAGCGACCTCCAGTGGAGGATGGTGCCTATTTGACGTGCTCCATGATTCAAGAATTGAACCATGATGAATTTTGCTGTGGGAAACATGATGTCTCGCATGTTTGCAGGTACGTTGACGAGAAGTGCAATCTCTACGACACCGCCAAAGAGGCAGGCATAGAATCCAGCTACGAGCTACAGAGCCATCTCCGCAAGTTCTCTTGTCCCAACATCCTTTTCGTGCCCTGACTATTTTTGTAAGGATACAAAATTGCTGCAACCATTGTCAGGCCGCACCATCAGCTTTAACAAAGGATATTATATGTGACCGTGGATCCCTTCTGCCTGGTTCTGAGAATTTGGATAGGCTTTCGAAGCTACAAGACCATGGAAAGCATTCGAAACAACAATCAGAGAACCGCTTGAAATGTGCATGGTACCCTGAACCTGATATACATTGCTTTGTTTTGTAATTTTTTGGAATGCCACGCTTTGTGTCACAATTGTAATCGAGCGGTGAGGATATTTTGGGGCCACCTTGCAAAGTCATTCAGTATCCATCATATTAGTGATGTTAGATTCGCATCATCAACGGGTTGTCGAGGCTCCGATTGCGCTACGAAGGTCGAACTCATTCTTTTTTCCGAATGCATAGCGAAGGGTTCTCGTTCAACTCTGGGGGTCTGGGGGTAGACTCTTGTTCCCGACTCGTTGTCGTAGCATGGGCAACCGTCAGCAACCGTCTGCAACCGTCCGCAACCGTTCGCAACCATCCGCAACCGTCCGCAGGTGGAGCGCTATGGAGCTTGCATGGGCGAAGCTTTTGGAGAGGGTTTTGGATGGGAAGCAGCCTCGTGCAAAATGCTCGTTTTGGAGGTGACGGTTGAGTTTTGGAGGCTTTGGTAGTAGTGCCTCACAAGAGTGTCCTGCAAGAGTTTCCCACAGGTCCCACAAAAGAGTGACCTACAAGAGTGTCCTGCAAGAATGTCCTACAAGAGTGTCCCACAAGAGTGTTCTACAAGAGTGTTCCGCAAGAGTGAGTGTCACACAAGGTGTCCTAGAAGAGCGCGCAAGAGTGTCCCACAAGGGATTCTGACACAAGAGTGTCAGTGCCCTACAAGAGTGTCCTTCTAGGGTATCCCACAAGAGTGTCCTATAGAAGTGTCCTACAGGAGTGTCCCGCAAGAGTGTCCCACAAGAGCGTCCTACAAGAGTGTCCCACGAGAGTGTCCTACCAGAGTGTCCTGCAAGAGTGTTTCACAAGAGTGTTCCGCAAGAGTGTGTCCGATAAGAGTGTCCTACAAGAGTGTCGCGCAAGAGTGTCCCACAAGAG